TTTGTTTTGTTTTGAGAATCAGCACACACGCCTGTTCATGCAACTCTTTTGTCTGGTTGGGATTAAATTAAATCCATTACTTCAAAGAGATTTCACCATACTTCAATAGGTATACTCACCGACATATCCTATTTCCCACTCTGGTAACAGTCTCTTCTGGTGTGTCTCTTCCTGCAAATAAAATTTTATAGAGAAATAGAACAGCCACCCTCATCTTGCTGTCCGATTAATTTCAGAGTGTTACGATTTTCTTGGAATAGCCATTGGTGATATCATAGCCTCTTCTTATCAGGATGAGTTGACAGGAACTAGGATTTCACTGAAGCCTTAGGGTGTAAATGAGGAGGAGAGTCTGCTGGAAATGTTTCCAATAAAGGTGGTAAGCAGAGGCTAGTGACTTCTCTGTAGTCACCACCCTGACCTGTAGCCTACTTACTAATATGGTTCACAATATTTAAGAATTGAGTTATATATGATGAGGAAACCCTTGTTCTTCAAGAGTTACCAAAATGGTCTGGTTTTCCACTGTTTTCTATTGCCTTGTGTTAAGAGTTTAAGATAGCATGAGACTGTCAGAGATGTATTTATTTGTGTCTTTCAGGGAATTTCATGTGCTCTCACATCCTTCTTAAGTGGCACGCAACTGCACAGATGCTTACTTTTTTTCTTCTTTCTGATTAAGCTAGAAGAGCTGCAGTTTCTGTAGAGGTGGAGGTGATGTTCAAACCCCTCCTGAGCTGCAAGGTTACCAAATCCTGAATTCTTAGATAAGGTGGTAGGAGGTGAGGGGAAGAGTGTCCAGCGAGTGCTTAGCTGATGGAAAAAAACCAAACGTCTTCTCAGGGAGAAAACGGCTAGTTGTTGCAGCTTAGCTGCTGAAGGCTCTGATGAACAAAACAGTTAAACTTTAGATCAGACACACTTCTCTTTTGCTTCTCAGCCAGGCTCTCTTGGGCTGTGGCGAGGATGGTTGGAACTGTGTGTAATAGAATCACCCGAATTTGGCATTTGCATTTGGTATTGTCTGAACATACCCTGTTCCCACCTGCCATTGAGGACAATGTAGCCTGAGCCTCACAGCGTGGATGTGTCCTCACAGGACAGCTGTGCCTAGTGTTCAGTCTGCAGCCCCTTCACATGTCACACAGCCACACACCCCTTCAGTAAGTGCGGCCTGACCTCCTGTGCCTGTTTTCTACTCCATGCTAGTTCTAGAACCCACCTCATCTGCTAAAATCATTTTCCCAACCTGGGCCCTGTGCCAGGCCTCCTGCAGCGAAGAGGAAGGACACTAGCCTAAGGATTAAGAACCTGGGCTTCAGAACTTGGTTTTCACTAGCTATGTGAACATAAGCAAGTCACTCATCTCTCTGTGTCTCAGTGATTCCATCTGTAAAATGGAGATAAGATCATCTCTGGTGGCCTGGCGCAGTGGCTCACACCTGCAATCCCAGCACTTTGGAAGGCTGAGGAGGGTGGATCACTTGAGGTCAGGAGTTCCAGACCAGCCTGGCCAACATGATGAAACACGGTCTCTACTTAAAAAATACAAAGCTTAACTGGGTGTGGTGGTACATGCCTATAATCCCAGCTATTCAGGAGGCTGAGGCAAGAGAATCACTTGAACCTGAGAGGTGGAGGTTGCAGTAAGCCAAGATCACACCACTGCACTCCAGTATGGGTGACAAAGCAAGACGCCATCTTGAAAAGAAAAAAAAAAAAAAAGATAATCTCCAGCTTCTTTTGCAGATGAAATTAGATAATCTTTGGAAAGCCTTACACATAGTAGATGTTGGAAAATTTACTATAATTAATAGGAATTAATTAATGAATGCCAAAGGGCAGAGCCACACTTCCTATGATAGTTTCTTGCTATAAGGTGCTATTTTATTCTCTACATTTACATTTTAAGCTTCCGTTTGAGAAAAAAAAAAACACACCAGCTTGATGCATAATAGATATGCAGAGACTGAGTCACAAACAGATGACACAACACCACAACTGTCACAGTATGTACGATGCTTTCCTCTCAACTTGATTGATTTTTTTTTTTTTTTTTACTTTTACTTGGATCAAACAAGCAAAAATACATGCTCCCCAGTAAGAACAGAAATAGGGATTTTCTTTGGGAGGCTGAGGTGGGCAGATCACCTGAGGTCAGGTGTTCGAGACCAGCCTGGCCAACATGGTGAAACCCCCTACTAAAAATACAAAAATTAGCCAGGTGTGGTGGCACGGGCCTGCTGTCTCAGCTACTTGGGAGGCTGAGGCAGGAGAATTGCTTGAACTCAGGAGGTTTCAGTGAGCCAAGATGATGCCACTGCACTCCAGCCTGGGCAACACAGTGAGACTCCATCTAAAAAGAAAAAAACTAAGGATTTTCTACTCAAATTTTCCTTAACCTAGAAATTCCTTTTTAAATAATAACACAGAATCACCCATTCATTTGTTCATTTTTTAAAAACTCATTTGTTCAACAAGTGATTACTCATTGCTGTAGCCACAGAATTTCTAGCCCTCGTGTACCTTTCTTCTCTAGTAGGGGATTTAGTCAGTAGGCAGGCATCTATGAGGCAATATCACTTCTTTTTTAAAGATGGAGTGTCACTCTGTTGCTCAGGCTGGAATGTAGTAGTGCGGTCTCAGCTCACCGCAACATCTGCCCCCCAGTTCAAGCGATTCTCCTGCCTCAGCATCCCAAGTAGCTGGGACTATAGGCAGCCACCACCATGCCTGGCTAATGTTTGTATTTTTAGTAAAGAGGGGGTTTCATCCTATTGGCCAGGCTGATCTTGAACTCCAGACCTTAAGATCCGCCAGCCTCGGCCTCCCGAAATGCTGGGATTACAGGCATGAGCCACAGCGCCTGGCCCTGATTTTTTTTTCTTTTTTAATGGGATTGGGAGATGTCAGAGGCTATGCAGGTACTTAGGAAAAGCACTTTAGCAAGAGTTAAAAGAGTCATGGTACTTCCTAGAGGAAGTGGTGTCAAACAGGAGACTTAACTAATGAGTAGACATTGCCAGGCAAGAAACAGCATGTACAAAGGTTTAGAAGCAACAGAGACTCTGATTTGAAGGAGGAGCAAAGTTCAGTAAGACTGAAAGGTGGTTTCATGAGGACACATAGAAAAAAGGTAGGCTTAGAGAAGAAAGTTGGAGTCAGATTCTTTCCTTTTTACACTTTAAGATCTGTCCAGCATGCAAAAATCAGAGCACATGTTGTGTAGTACCACTATGAAATGCAGACCTGTACAGATGGAGAAAATCAAGGCTCTCAAAGACAATTTTCTCAGTGCAGACTCTATCAGATTCCTAATTCCTTCTGAGCTGTCATGAATTTGAAGGACATCAGATTTGCTCAAGCACGCATTCCAATTCTGTACCGGCTCCCTCCCTACGTTAAAGTGACTATTGGGACTTACTAATATCCAACATTCAGATTTCTATCTTTTTCAAAAGCCTTAACCTAGCTGCCTGGTATTATTGTAAACCTGATTATAGTGATATTTTAATAAGTAAATTATGCTAAATTGTTTGCTCATAAGAAGAAAAAAATCTTTCAACTCTAACATGCATTAAAGCTAACTGAATTAAAATATGCTAGAATAATTTTATAAGATGAACAAGGAGGGAACTTATTACTGAACTATTAACTTTCAAAATAATCTGTATTTTCCTTTTTACATGATTGTTCATGCTATTCTGCCTGCTAAGACTTCAGACTAAAGCCTTTATTCTTCAGTGTCCATTTTAATGTTTTTTGTACCAGAAAACTAGGTCACATATTCCAGGTCATTTGAATTTTTATGTTACTTGTCGCGTATGTCTAGTTTTACTAGATTTGAAGACAGCAGCCTGCTTTAATCCTTTTGTATCTGCTATCCCTCTTAACATAGGGTATATGTTGCTTAACTGATCATTATAAAATATATCTACAGAAGGCTCATGAAAGAATTTTAGTTTCTCAGATATGTTAATCCTTCCCAACCTTGACATGAAAAAAATTGAAGCAAATATGTTTCCATGTTAATTGAATGCTGCTGAGTCACTAACCTGCTGCGGTTTCTAAAGGTAAAACGGATAGTGGTTCTACTGGGCTCTTTCTGTCCAATCGTCTGTGGTTCTAAGTGCCAGATGAGTGCTTCTGCAGGAAAACCCATAGTCTCTAGGTGAAGTTCTGAAGGAAGTGAAACTAACCAAAGGAAAGATGTGAATGCCAGTCTCATCCTGCATTCTAGGTACACGCATGTTGTTATAAAGGGAGCCTGTAACATATTTGTTGTGTATTTTTGCTAAGTATCCCCTTATAAAGACAGTTACCATAAAGCCACTAAGATAAGATATCTGCTCTCTAAATGAGTCAACATATGAAAATGCTTAGGACACAGAAAGCACTTAACAAATGTTAGTTGCTGCCCTTGGTTTTAATTTTGTTTCATTCCTTAGAGCTGTGCTGAACAATACATAGCCATGAGCCACAAGTGGCAACGGAGCACTTGAAATGTTACTTTTCCATATTGAGATGTGTTCCAAGTATAAAACCTACACTGAAGTTCAAAGACTTAGGAAAAAGGAATGTCAAATATCTCATCATTAATTTTTATATTGATTGCATGCTAGTTTAGATATACTGAGTTAAATAAAATATACTTTTAAAATGAACTTCACCTGTTGCTTTCTATGTTCTTTATGTGGCTGGCTACTAGAAAATTGGAAATTACATACGTGGCTCATATTTGTGGCTTGCATTATATTTCTATTGAACAGCATTGCTTTAGAGAGACTTTCTGGGGTGTGTAGCAAAGCAGCAGTATTACAGGCGTTCATCGAGGCTGTTGATCTGTTAAGCAGAAAGGAAGTAGATCAAATAATTACTGAACAAATATAAACTGTTCACATTGAAATTTAAATGTGTTTCTCACTGTTTGTGGTCAGGGTTATCTTTAAGAAACTATACTTAACACTTTATGTCTCATACAAACAAAATTCTGCTTCTAGGTTACTGGTCGGTTCACCCTGGAGTGGCTTTCCTGAGAACCGCATGGGAGATGTATATAAATGTCCTGTTGACCTATCCACTGTCACATGTGAAAAACTAAATTTGCAAAGTAAGTTTAAACTAGCAAGTGATTTGTCTTAGATTCGACTGAAAAATAACATACAAACAATCATCATTCTGTCTGAAAGAAACATAGACAGCTTGTTTTGCCCTTATGTCTTTTGTAATATGCGGCACAATTGTATCCAAATTTCCAGAACAGTTTGGAGACTTGACTTAACAAGATGCATGGAAAATGTGCTGTCTCCTGGACCATTCACCTCCAGACCATGGACTGGTTTCCATCAACATTTAGAATAATTTTGATGATTACTAGCAGAAGTCTGAGGCTGTCCATATTTCTTTCTCTCTTCCTTGCAAAATAAACCATTAAGTTTGGAGATGCCAAAAAATGCTCCGTGTTTTTCTCCTTATGTCTAAATGATTGCATTCTAACAAAACAAATCCACAGTTGGAATTATTTGCTGTTTTAATTATCCACATCTCAGATGCCTCCTATTAATGCCCCCCAAAAAAAATTGCTAAAGCTTCAAGGGTAGACAGCTAAATGAGTGACATTTACATGTAATATGCTGATACAAGTAAAAAGTTGTTCAATTTGATCGTCATCACATCAGCAGCAGCAGCGTCCTAGATAACCAGCCCCGAGGAATCACTGAGTTCTTCTGAAGGGTTGATGCATGAATTAGAAAAGAGTGTTGTGAAAATTAAGGGAAAGAAGAGTTTCAAAAATAGTGATTAAGACTTGGAAACAAGGGCAGTAGTATTTCTTACATATCTCTGTATACCTGATATCTAGAATAATTTATGGCATATAATAGGGCTCAATAAACATATTTTCAGTGAAGTAGAAGGAATATCAGCAGTGTCCAATGCTACAGAAGTTGAAGGGGTGAGGACTGAGTAAATGTCTTCTGCTTTTTTAAGTAGGTTGTGGGTGATCTAGACCAATGACCTCCAAACATTTTGAACACTCAGTATGTGTTTTATTTATATATATATATATATATATATATATATATATATATTTTAAATAATGCAAATATATTCATTTGGAGTGAGTGTTCAAAGTTTTATTACATAGTCCAAAAATTTTAGTATATCACCCCTAACATATCGTATCACCCTTAACTTCTGAACACTCATTCATAATGTATATATCTTTATTTTTAAAGCTATATATGTGTACTGACCTAGTATCTTTCCAATAATACCTTCACATAAAAATAAGTTTTAAAGAATAGCAACATGCCCATAGAAGTTCTATTATTTTCTTTCTGCACTCGAACAGATCTATTTTGTGTCACTTACTCACCTAGGGGATAAATCCACTGGTGTTATGGGGAGAAAATAGGTAACAAAGAATTTAGGAGTGTGTCAGTAGTCCATATACAAAGAGTGGAAGATGACCTCCATTTCTAGAAGTTCAGCAGTGAAGGGAAGCTGGGAAAAACAATTCTATGGGATAGCAGAGTTGGAAGACTTTTCTAGTAAACAGGAGATAATACTCTTTGTAGGGAACATCGAGGCAGGAATAAAAAGGGATAATTTGTCCAAGACAGAGTTAACTGATTGGAATTCATGTAATTTGTATCTGAGAAATCGAGTCTTAAAAAGAGTGCTTCCTTATCTAAGAAGGAAAGAGACGAAAGTTAGGAGTTCTAAGAATGATCTTTACACCATGATTAGAGAAGCTGAGATTAGCCTGAGAGTGTGATTCGTCTTCTCTGCAGTAGTCGTTATTCACTAAGTGACGGGATCTGAGTTGAGGCTGGAGGCTTGTGAAGAAGGGTGAACTTTACAGCAGTCACCCTGGGAAATAAGGGAAGGAATCCAATTAAGGATAAATGACAGAGGCAATGACGGCTTGGCAGAGATAAGAAACAAGAGTGAACAATGGTATTACGTTCAATAACTCAGGAATGGATACAGAGGTGGATGCCCTAGGTCAGTGGAAGACAGGAAGTGGAGGGATTTATTTATTGTACTATATGGCTAGTCTGATTTCCTTTTAACATTCACTCACTATTGCTTTGAGTCAGATTCTATCATAGGGCATCCTTGATAACACTTCCAGGATATTTTTACTAACTCCGAAAATTTAAAGAAAGCACTAGATAGAGCTACTATGACTTTGAAAAGAGAGGAAAAAAAATGATGTCCTCAAATGTGTTTTGGCCAGAATATTGTAGAAAAAAAGTAAATTTAAATGTCTATAAGGCATACCCTCTCCAGAGCCCGCTCCTTACTGTCTTATGCTCTGCAGCCTCACACATTAATGTGAGTTACCAGATCACTGAAGGCATCTATCTCATTTCCCAACACTTCATTATATAACTCAAGTACCTACACTGATGACACTAATTGAATGCTACATGCAAACATGGGTGTGCCTGGGTGTTTTTTTTTTTTAATCTTAAAGTAAACGATGATGATTTAATCACTTTTAAAAATTGTTTTCCCTTTGAAAGCTTCAACAAGCATTCCGAATGTTACTGAGATAAAAACCAACATGAGCCTCGGCCTGACCCTCACAAGGAACATGGGAACTGGAGGGTTTCTCGTGAGTGTTTGCTTCACAAACCATTATTCCTCTCAAGGAAGTGGGTAGTCAGTGTCTTCTCACCATCCCTCCCAATCTGGGGCTTTAGATGCTTAGAAATGGCTTTTTGATCAACTATGCTATTTATTTGACTACCAAATTTGAATATTCAAAATAATGTTGACGTGTAGACTTTTTAGGATATTCAGCAAAACCACTGCCACTGAATGTTTTAAAGAAAAGGGAACAGAAAGTACACTGATTCTTTGCCCTTGGAAAGTGTGCTGAGTATTTGTTGATAACAGCAGAATCCCACATCTCATTTCTACTTCCTGTAGGATCATTCAAGATAGGTATTGCTAATGAAGAAAGCAGATTTCAAAGCTGAAAAGTATTTCTGGTTTTTAATCATTTCCTGAAATTGATGCCTAATCTGGTGTTATGTGAGGCATGGAGCAGTCTCATTTTATATCATGTCAGTGCTCACTTTCATTTAGTTACGAAAAGAGTGAAAAGACATCACAAATCAGTGAAATAGAATGCCTCATTTAGCAAGTCCTTTGGGAACAATTAATTAATTAATATTTACATATTCAAATACACTGTGAAATGAATTGGAAGTTAATATAAAAAACTGGAAAAAATGGAAATTTTCTGAAGGATGGAAAACTTTCAAGTGAATTGAAAGTTAATATAGAAGACTAGAAAAAAATGGAAATTTCCTGAAGGACGGAAAAATTTCTGAGCTTAGAGCTAATAGAAGAAATAATATAGAAAATTGTCAAAAGGATTTGACTATATAAAAAAGGGAAAAACATCACACACCAAAAAAAAGTTTAAAGGCAAATAAAAACACAGTCTTATTTGCAATTTCCACTGGCTCACATAGGTATGTACTAATTGTATAACCCTGTTAAAATTGTCTTAGAGAGGCTGGGCATGGTGGCTCAATGCCTGCAATCCCAGCACTTTGGGAGGCTGAGGAGAGTGGATCACCTGTGATCAGGAGTTCAAGACTAGCCCAGCCAACATGGTTGAAACCCCGTCTCTACTGAAAATACAAAAATCAGCCGGGTGTGGTGGCATGCACCTGTAATCCCAGCTACTCTGGAGACTGAAGCAGGAGAATCGCTGGAACCCCGGAGGCAGAGGTTGCAGTGAGCTGAGATTGTACCACTGCCCCAGCCTGGGCGACAGAGTGAGACTCCATCTCAAATAAATAAACAAAACAAACAAAATTGTCTTAGGGAGCCTAATTCAACTTTACATTAGTTTTACCTAAACTGTTGTCATGCTTCCTTAAAATCCTATGTTTTATAACTGTATTATTCTAAAAATGTAATCAATTTTGAACAATGTCATTCCATTTTTACTAATGGATATTATTATTCTGATGACTGTGCTACCAGTAAGTGAATTAGATATTGCTTGTGATATGTGTTAAAAATAGTGCAAAAATGAATATTGCAATGGATCTTTATGGTTTATGATATTCCAAAGTCTTTGCAATAAGGTTGCTTTAATCTTTTTGCTTGTTTGATTTTAAGCTTGCATACATTTAAAAAGAGAACATATTGATATTTAGAGATTACAGAATGTGCCTCAAAATGTTTAATCTGTAACTCTAGATAAAGTAAAAAATAAAAATTAAAAAGCAAGAGAATTTGAGAGATTAATTAACAGTCCAGGTAGCAAGCAGGGAGGCAGAAAGAGAGAGAGAGGAAGGAAAAAAAAAGATAAAACCTGAAGTTTCCTTTACATACTTAAAAGGTCAAAATCATAAGATACTCTTAAGAATTATGTGGAAAAGACTGACAATCATCACATTTTCTTGGAAAGTTCTTAAGTTCTGGGCTTAAAGTAGGAATGTAGTTCTGGCACTAACAACTGGCATATTTTAATTTCAACTTCTTAATGCTGTTTTCCATTGCTTTTAAAACAAAAATATTTTTGAACACTTCATGAGTCCTTTTTCAAAGTGATCAAAAAGCTTAGGAATGGGGATATAAAAACCAATAATTGATATCTGTTATTTGGTAAACTAACCAAAGATATTAATAATGACTTTCTTCTAATTAATTGGCAAAATAAATCAGCTTTATAGGGAGAAAACTATGCCTTGTTCATTGAGCATGAAATATGGCCAAAACTGCTTCTCCTTTGACAGTTAAACTGGGTCAAATAAGTTTCCTTTTATTTTTCCAATTACTCTTGCAAGCCCACACTCTTCTGTTCAGTTTTAATAACTGATCTACAGCTTTACATAACGTTAAAATCTGTAGGCATTTTTAAAAATCTTAATTAGATTTCTCTTTTGCACTTGTCTCCTTTTTTATCTCTCAGTGTTTAAAGTTATTTAATGTTTCCCGTCTCATTTAATCATGATTTAATCAGGAATTCCTGGCATTCAAGGACTCTTGAAAATGAGAGAATTGAGATTGCATTAATGGAGGTAGGAAGGATTGGAGCAGGTACAGTGTGAGCAGGAAGACAAGTGCCAGCCAGCGTTAGTGACTGCAGTTAATGAGGAAGTGGGCAAAGTCAAAACCTGGTAGTGAGTGAACCTCATTTGTGTTTGCTTAGCGTATGGAATGATTTTGAACTGAATCTTTACACAAAATTTACCTTCTCGGCTCTCTTTTATAAATCTGGCAACACAGCCTATTTCACACCAGTGGGCAGGCAGAAACCACAGTGGTCTGTTCATAGGCATAGGCTCTTCATTCACCATGATGTCTATGCCTGACCCCAAGCCCTCTTCAAGGATTACTGCCATTAGGTTCACGGTTTCTTCTGAGCAGTGTGAATAGAAGGCAGCACAGGAAACTGATGTTCAGCAAGAGCAATGATATTGATAGTAGCGAACAGTTGCTATATAGCCTTTGCTATTTACCTGGCATTGTTTTAAGAGTTTTATATCTATAGATCCATTTCATCTTTATAACAATCTTAAAAGATAGGATGTGTGGTTATCCTCATTTTACAGATGAAGTAGCTGAGGTCCAGGTACACTGAGAGACAAAAATGAACTTGACTTGCCCACATTCTCCTCCTTGGTGTTCTCTGGAAGGAAAGCCCCCGTTTTCTCTAGTTTAATGGGTGACTTCATAGCTCCTTCCTTCACTGACATCTGTTCCCAACGGTCCCAGCACTCCCCCTCCCAGAAGGCTTGGGCATCTGCCACCTTCTCAATCACTTCTGCTTGCCCCAAAGGCATTACTGAGTCATTGGTTTCGAGTTCACAATTATTAGTATCTTGGAAAAGAATAGAGATGATTTCTGAGCTCAGTAATGGAGAGGTAGAAGGTTAACATTTTTCATGTGTTTCCATTAATTGTTTTCTCATTTCTTTGAAGACATGTGGTCCTCTGTGGGCACAGCAGTGTGGGAATCAGTATTACACAACAGGTGTGTGCTCTGATATCAGTCCTGATTTTCAGCTCTCGGCCAGCTTTTCACCTGCAGTTCAGAGTAAGTTATTAAAGTGCAGATGGGGTGAGCAAGGCCTTACGGTTAAAAGAGTGGGGGAAGGTTATCAACTAGTGGCATGCAAACCCTCCGTAAGTCTTGTTTTTTATGGCTGTGAAATGTGACTTACTTACGGAAATCTTCTTTTCTCTTTTCCTGTGTAGCCTGCCCTTCCCTCATAGACGTTGTGGTTGTGTGTGATGAATCAAATAGCATTTATCCTTGGGATGCAGTAAAGAATTTTTTGGAAAAATTTGTACAAGGCCTCGATATAGGCCCCGCAAAGACACAGGTATGGACATCAGAAATGCATAAACTAATTTGTGGCTTTTTTTCTGAAAAACAATATTGTTAGATATGAAGTCTTAATTTTTATATTTGCCAAATCCCCATTTTAAATGCATTTAATGGCAAGTTTTAAAGTCAATTGAAACTTGTACTACATTGGGTTATGCTACCTACGGCTTTGCCCAATGCTGGTCTTTTGACCTTACAGTTCTATTTCTGACATAAGCATTAAGGGTATGGGATCGAACATTTTAATCTTCCTGGAATTGCCTATCTTTCCCCTCTAACACATGAGTTAAATTTTAAAATTCAATATGTATTTTTATGTCCATTTGGACTAAAAATTCACTTCTTTTGTTTATTCTTTACTGGTAAAACAATTATTGAATTTTGAAATTTGTATAAATAAGTCACTAAGCATAGTTCTAACATTTATGATAATATTTTATAGTTATCATATTCTAGTCTAGCTTGCCCTTTTGCCTATGGAAAAGTTCTTTTCAATAGTTTTATATAACTCTCTATATTTTAAGAAGTCTTTACTTTGCTTTAATATCTTCTTTAGGTAAGCAACTAAAACTCAGTAGTATTATTTTAAAGTTCAATTTCCGGTTTGGGGTTGTTGTTTTTTCTGATTTAATCTGCCATCTGATTGGCCTTGTGGTTGTAGCAGTACACTGAACCAGTGCCACCAGGGACCAGTTCACTGCTACCAGTGTGTGTTTGTGGATTGCATCTGATACTCCAATGTCCAACATCTAACACACATCTAATACAAATTGTTGACATTTTTTCCCTAAATGCTTTCCAGCTATCTTTATGGAAATTTGCTTCTCTGCTTTCCTGTTCAGTAGTATAACATGTTGTTATATGTTTTCACCCATTGAAATTGCTCTTCAGTACCAAGAGTATCTCAATACCCACAGAAGCTTTGGAAGTTCCCCTGTGGGCATTTTCCAGGACATGCTGCTAAATAAAACTACATATAGCACTGGTTTCCGGAAAGCACCACTCTTAAAGCCCCTCATAAGTTTTCATATGTATCTGCTTATTTCTTCCATTTCTAAATGAGTTACCCTTATAATGTGACTAATTTTTTTAATAGTCTCCTATGTAGAATTCACAGTTTTCCTCTTTTGTGCCTTCCTACAGCAGCACATCTGATTCCTCTCTAGAAGTGGTTTAGCTCAGTCTCTTTTCTTACAGCCTAAATTTGATGTTTCTGTAAATCCTAATATATCACATTTCTTTAAATCTTTATTGTTCTTTTTCTCACAGAAGTCCTGAGGCTCTGTCATGGGATTACTACCTTCTTCCACTCATATTAGATTTTGAAATTCTCAGAGTTATTTTTTATTCTTTCCTCCCTCTCAAGTCTTACATTGCACCCTAGAGAAAGGGATCTAGGAATATTGTATTTCTCACTATCTTCCCCGTGCCTAGCTTACTGCCCCTTGGCAAAACACAGCAGAGTGAACTCAGAAATCCAGTCCTTGCCTCTTCTACCTCCTTACATACTGACCTGTATTTCAGAGAGCCTCTTACCACTGATCGCTGTTGCCACTCCTGTTCTGGAAAGCCCATCCCCTAGGCTTAGATGGTGATCTGAATGCCTGCAAACAAGGACATTAACAGAAGGGTGTGGCCTTGTTGATGTCTAGGATTAGGGAATGCTCCCAAATGTCTTGTTCAGAAATTCTTTCTTTCCACTCTCTCAAATAAGATGCTCTCCAGCAGCATGTTCTCTGAAAACCAGAAACTCCGTGCCCCACAGGCACATAAAGCATCTTCCTTCCAGAGTTGCTGAAGCCCATAATAGAGGAAATCCAGCACGATAAATAGACCTCAATTGACTACACTAATTAGGAGCACATTGGTTTTTGTTGTATTCAACTCTAATTATTTATTACATAGTTACTGTCCTTTGATGAAATGTTACTCTCCATCTGTGATTGTTTATAATTGTGAGCTTCTGTCCATTGGTAATTAGAAAGTTTATTTATATCAAGTTTAATCTTGCTATTAAAAACCATATTCTAATAGTCATCCACATTAAAATATTATAGGGCAGTGCTTAAAAATTACAATTACTCTTGAGAATCAAATCATACACTGTAGCACATCATCTTTCTTGGCAATAATACTGCTGTTGTACACTGACGGCCTCTAACAGAGAAGAAATTATTCCATCGAAAGAAAAGTAACTACTAAGAACAAAGTTGGAAGTGATCCCTTTAAGCCTTCAGCCCATGTCTAAATATACTTTGGTTTTTATTTTATTGGTTAAGTAGAAATGATTTATAATGTAATGGCAGCCCATTAATAAATGTCTGCTCTTTTGAAGGTGGCGTTAATTCAGTATGCCAATAATCCAAGAGTTGTGTTTAACTTGAATACATATAAAACCAAAGAAGAAATGATTCTAGCAACATCCCATACATCCCAATATGGTGGGGACCTCACAAACACATTTGGAGCAATTCAATATGCAAGGTAAGTTTTGGTGCGAATAGACCAATGTTTTCATAATATGAAAGTGTTAATAAATAAGAAAAAGTAAGGAAAAGTTAAAGAAAAATAGTATACCTGGTACCTAACTTAAATCAGAACAAATAAAGAAAAAACATCTGAGCATTCTATGTCTTGAATACTTTGAGAAGGCAGTTGGGAAAGTTAAATCTTTGGTTTTAGAATTTTTATAAGATATTACATGATTTTTATGTGAATTTATATGAAGTAAATGAAATGAGAAGATCTTAGACTAAAACAGTAGGAAATGGGGCAATCTGTCATAATTTGTTCATATTCATCAGAGATTCAGACAAATTGACCTCATGAATCACTTGGTGCAAATTTACAAAGGACAGGGAATCTTAAAACATATGAGTTTGAATTGAATTGAACAACTTTATTATGCTTATTACAATCAGTGGGAAATGTGAAATTGTAACTATGCAACACTCTCTTGATTCTTATCTCAATTTCTCTGTTTTCACAGATCCACTAACCCTCATCTTCACTCTATTTTAACCAGATACTTTCACAAAAATGCTAAACACTCCCTGTTGTTAAACAAATTAATGAGAACAACAAGCTTGCCTTCCCTTAAACCTGTTCTCTGTCTTTTTTTTTTTTTGTCTTGTGCATTCTTTTCTTTTCACTACCGTAATTCTTTTTGAAGAAAGCAGCTCTATTCCCTCCTTCCACTTCCTTGAAAGATACAGCTCTGTTACTAGGTAAGCATGCCCCTGTTCATCCCCCAGCCCAGTGGTCCCCCCTCAAGCCTCCTCCTTTCTGCTTCCTCTGAACATTTGATAATGATGAGCACATGCTGCTACTCCCAGCCAAGTCGCCATAACACCACAAGCTTCTCGAACGTCTGCCAACTTTTCATCAGCAACTTTCACCTCTTTACTGGCTCCTTTTCCTATTTTTCTTCACTGAGCGGAACCCTGTCTTCTCTACTGCCCTTTTCCTGTAGGAATTCTATCCACTGTCATGGCATCAGCAGCAGCACTGTGGGGGTTACCCCATTGCTACGTTGTCAGCCCTGCACGCTCTCCCAAAACTCACATTGGCATCTAGCTGATGCTGAATCTTTTTATTTGGAATGTTGGCACACTTACCAAATTCAGTCTGTCCTACACTGGCCTTATTCTTTTCCCCACTGCTCCGCATAAACTTGCCATTTTGATTCATGCCACTGACTCTTGCCCAGTCATTTGAACTAAAAATTTGGTTGCCTTTATTCTTTTTACTCTTCCTTACGTCACACATCTGGTCAGTAGCCACATCCTGTCATTTCTATTTCTGCATTTCCCATTTTATCCATCTTCTTTTTCTGTGTGTGTATCTTGGTTGCTACTTCCACCAACTGGTGTCAATCCCACACGTCTCAAAAGCGGATTCCCCACAAGAGAAGATATGATTGGTTTGGTTCATCATTGCTATCTCCATTCAGGGACAATAAAGGTTTTTTGGGCCAGGCAATCTCATAAGCTGCTGGCCAGTCAGTAGGTCAGCTGCCATTAAGTGAAGTGCCCTTTCTGATCCAGCAATCTGGACTAAAAGGAAGAAGCTGAGATGAAAAATGGCCAGGTGTTCAGCAGGGAGGTGGGGGTAGCGTTTTTCCCTGGAAGGAGCCTGGGGCCCTGGAGAGCTTGGTTCTCCAGGACAATGGTCACTGTCCATTGAGGCAGGACTTGCCTGACTTACATCATCTTTCAAAACTTTGGTTTTCGCCCCTATGCCATTGTCTGTCTCCCTCTGCCCATGGTTTCCCAAGTTAACAGGATTTAGGCTGCCTAGTGCATGGAGAATCACCCAACTTTTTACTCAACCTCCTAGAATGTAATTGCCTCTATATTTCTCCTCTCTCTCTCTCTCTCTCTCTCTCTCTCTCTCATCTCTTTCTTTAAAACATTGAAGAGACTCTAAAATTCTTTGAGTAAATATTGCCGTGTTTTCACTCACCTCATTTCCTTCAATGCCTGCAGCTTCTGTTTACTGTTCCAAGCACTGCAGGGAATTAAAACTAATGGGGTACAGTTTCTGTCCTCAAAAACTTCAAAAAGGATGTGATGTGAATACTGTAATTCAAATTTGGCCAAAAATACAGGGTATTTTCTACATTTCTATAGTCTACATTATAGAATACAAAACAGATATTAGGAAATAAAATGATATGCTCAGTTTTAAAGACAGTGAATTTGATATTACCCATTCAAATTTAAAATGTGTGTATTCTCTGTCCCCGTAATTTTACTGCTAAGATTTTATCCCACTTGAAAGAGTATGCCAACATATATACAGAGGGATATTTATTACAGCCTGACTTGTAAAACTCAAAATAGCCTAAACAACCAATAATGGGGAACCAGTTAAATAAAACTGTACTCCTTCATATGGTCCTCCAAATAAAATATTATGCATCCATTAACAAAAGAATGAGAGCTTCATAAAAGTGCTGTATGGAAAGGTCTCCATCAAAGTGAAAAACAACTGTTTAGAATATGCCCTCATTTGATGCAAAGGCATAATAATGATACAGTGGATTCTGGGGACTCGGGGGGAAATGGTGGGAAGGGGCTGAGGGATAAAAGACTACAAACCGGGTTCAGTGAATTCCGCTCAGGTGATGGGTGCAAATCTCACAAATCACCACTGAAGAACTTATTCATGTAACCAAATATCACCTGTTCCCCAAAAACCTATGGAAATAAAAAAAATTTTTTTTAAAGAATATGCGGGTGTTGAACAACGAGAACACATGGACACAGGGAGGGGAGCACTACACACTGGGGTCTGTTGGGGGGAAATAGGGGAGGGACAGCGGGGGGTGGGGAGTTGGGGAGAGATAGCATGGGGAGAAATGCCAGATATAGGTGATGGGGAGGAAGGCAGCAAATCACACTGCCACATGTGCACCTATGCAACAATCTTGCATGTTCTCCACATGTACCCCAAAACCTAAAATGCAATAAAATAAATTAAAAAAAAAAGAATATGCCCTCATTTGGGTAAAAGTTTAAGGGGTAGACAATGCCTATGCCTATATTCCATCTAAATAAAACATTTTCTAGAAGAAAATGCAAGAAACTGATAATGGCTTACTTATGGAGAGGGGTTTAGTGTCACATTTTGGTTTATACCTTTCAAAATACTTTGATTTTTTTTTTACTATGGATATCTATTACTTTAAAATAATATTGAAAATAAGTAAACACAGGTCTAACGCATAAAATTTATGACAAATATCTTTGCTCTGTTGATTTGTACTGATTAATTCAACTTTCTTAGAAGAAAATACTTTGAAGGAATACTGAGATAAATACATGTACACATATATACACGTATACCATGGCATATAAGACATTGTTTTTAATGTCAAGCAAAGCTTATATTTGTATATGTTTCTCTACAAGCTACAAATGGAACATTAAATATGTCACCAAAGTTAATATGGAGTTACAATAGATTGTGTTTAAAGAAGCTAGTTTCATGTTTCTATTTTAAACCAGAGGTTGTCATATTAACTTCATATTTTGATAGCTAGTCTTTAATTTTATCTGCCACAGAAAATATGCTTATTCAGCAGCTTCTGGTGGACGACCAAGTGCTACCAAAGTCATGGTAGTTGTAACTGATGGTGAATCACATGATGGTTCAATGTTGAAAGCTGTGATTGAGCAATGCAACCGTGACAATATACTGAGGTTTGGCATAGCAGTAAGTGGCTCTTCTTTTTACTTGCCTTGCAGCTATTGGGTAAATCTTCCTTTATAGCGTCACTTCTCAAGGCTGCACTTTCCCATTGGTTGTTCATAGTTGAATGTAAAAGAAAGTTCTTGCTCTCTCTCTGCGTCTTCATGGTTTTCAGTTGTGTCTATGACTGAAATAAAGGGTTGTGGAAATGTTGCTTGATTTACTTCTCCAGAGGGGCTATTGTGTTCAAAATAGACTAGAATGTACTCATAGGGAAAATGGAGTACAGCAGTAATGACCTTTTTTTTCTCTTCTATTTTCAAGGTTCTAGGGTACTTAAACAGAAACGCCCTTGATACTAAAAATTTAATAAAAGAAATAAAAGCAATCGCTAGTATTCCAACAGAAAGATACTTTTTCAATGTGTCTGACGAAGCAGCTCTACTAGAAAAGGCTGGGACACTGGGAGAACAAATTTTCAGCATTGAAGGTAAAAAAAATCTCCTTTCAAGAATTTTCTTTTAAAACATTTAAATAATTGTTTATTATCACATATTTGCTCTATCAATGTTAACTTGTATACCTTGTATAAAAAGAGCTACTACAAATCAGTAAGGAGAATGGATGAAAAACATGAATAGTTTATAAGTGATAAAATACAAATGACTGATAAACATAAGAAAATATTCCCAATTTACAAGTATATTTCTAAATACTCCCAGTAAGTATTTAAAAATATAAATTAAACCAACATTATGTTTTGCCTAAAAGATGACACAGAATAATAATGTTCAATCCTGGAGAGATTATCAGGAAACAAAGAAGCTCATACACTGTTGACAGGATGATAAGTTATTATAACTTTGGGGGGACAATATAGTAATACCTATTATAATCATGAATAGTTTTATGTTTTTACACTGTGTTATGTAAGTTTTAAAATTCTTGAATTGTTTACAGTAAGCGTATCTATTTTTTAAATTGGAAAAATACAGCAAAGTTTAATTTTGAGGGAAATATTTTATTTATAGGACTAAAATAATTTACTTAGGTGGTCTTGGAAAATCTAGTTAGTGCAGAGAAATCACATGTTTAGGAGTTCACTGTGTGGGGGACTAGCACATATTTCACAGTTGGTGAAAAAAAAAAAAACCACATGATCCAAATCCTAGTTCTTGTTGGTTAACTCAAATAACCCTTTGCAACAAAGACCTTATGTTATTGAAAACCTATGTATCAGGTACAGCCTTAGAGTCTGGGGCTAAGAGGATTGCATAAATTATTCATTCATATAGTCAGACCTTGACTTGATTATCCACTGGAATTATCCAAAAAGCTGTATTGCTTCTTTAGTATCCCATGGTGCCTGAAAGTTGCATTCAAATCCAATGCAAGCTGAGATAACACAAAATCACTAGGCTATCCACATTGATAACTGTGTTTGTAGGGACATGAATGAGAACAATTGTAATCTACAAGCTAGCTAGAAATGACTTTGAGCATTATCTGCTATTAGGGACTTTGGGGAGCATTATTGTATTTTATTAAAAGTTATCTCTACTCATCCTGTGTAAATTATTTTATCTTGTAACTAAGACTGTGTTGTACATAGTGTCATACATAGTGTTGTACATAGTGTCGGTCCAGTGATTTAGCTTCCTTTTTGTGAGGATTAGTGAAACATAACCATTTTGATCACAGTGTATGGAAAATAAGTACCAACTGGGTCTTACAGTGTTACTGACAGAGGCAAGCAATCACATATATAGAACCAGAACAAACTTCTCAATTGGTAAGATTCCTACTCAGTCTTGAATTCTGGTTCCTAACAGCTAACTCAGTTCTCTCCCAGCTGTCTTCACTACAGATCAATTGCCCAGCCCTTCCAGTTGCATCTGAGATTTGTGTATATTTATCAGTACCAATATTTCAAAGCTAAAAATTCAGTTAGTTTCTTCGCTAGCAATGATCAAGTTTTAAAAAAATCATCATCTCAGATTTCACCTTACCTTATACCTTTTGTTGAGTGTCCTTTTGTATCAGGAACTTCATACTTATTCTGCTAAATACATTAACGTTTAATTAAGATTAGTGCCAACTTTGAACACTACCTTGGAAGTATTATTATTTCCATAACCTGCTAGAACACTTTCTTAGTGATTTCTTCCTCCCAGAATACACATGCTCTGTATTTTGGGGTGAGTATTGGAAGAGTATGTGTTTGTGTTTGTAGGCGTGTGTGTACATCCCGGCCTGCCTGTGTTTGAAAACTTGATTTACAATTACTGACAGTTATATCATTTTTAAAATTTGATTTTTCAGGTACCGTTCAAGGAGGAGACAACTTTCAGATGGAAATGTCACAAGTGGGATTCAGCGCAGATTACTCTCCTCAAAATGTGTGTATATCAGATAGCTTCAAGTTATATTTTCATTTGGCATAACACTTCCGGACACAGTAGCCTTATACATAAAGTGGGAAGACAGCCATTTAGCGATCGGCCCTTCTGTTTCCTAGTCACAATCATTTAGTTTCTTTGTGCTGCTGATTTACCCCTAAAATCTGAATGCTAATAATATCTTCCTTTCCCTGTTCCACAGGGATCTTAAATGGGGTAAAAGTGACAATATACAAGAAAGTCTTTGAGTACTCCAGGGCAGAGACACTATATTAACTTAAGGTATTATTCCTGCAGGAATTTTCTTTTCTTTTTTTTTTTTTTTTTTGTGGTGGAGTCTCGCTCTGTCACCAGGCTAGAGTGCAGTGGTGTGATCTCGGCTCACTGCAACCTCTGACACCCTAGTTAAGGCCATTCTCCTGCCTCAGCCTCTCAAGTAGCTGGGACTACAGGCACACACCACCACACCCAGCTAAGTTTTGTATTTTTAGTAGAGATGGGGTTTCGTCATGTTGGCCAGGATGGTCTCAATCTCCTGACCTCACAGTCTGTCCGTTTCGGCCTCCGAAAGCGCTGGGATTACAGGCATAAGCCACCATGCCAGCCCTGCAGGAATTTTCTTTTTTTAATTTTATATATATATATGATTGCATTTTAGGTTCTGGGGTACATGTAAAGAACATGCAGTATTGTTGCATAGGTACATACATGGCAATGTGGTTTGCTGCCTCCATCCCCATCACCTATATCTGGCATTTCTTCCCATGTTATGCCTCCTCAACTTCCTACCGCCCACTGTCCCTCCCCTAGTCCCCTCCCCCCACAGACCTCAGTGTGTGATGCTCCCCTCTCTGTGTTCATGTATTCTCATTGTTCAATATCCACCTATGAATGAGAACATGCGGTGTTTGATTTTCTGTTCTTGTGTCAGTTTGCTGAGAATGATGGTTTCCAGGTTCATCTGCGTCCCTACAAAGGACACGAACTCGTCATTTTTTATGGCTGCATAGTATTCCATGGTGTATGTGTGCCACATTTTCCCTTTCCAGTCTATCATCGATGGGCATTTGGGTTGATTCCAAGTCTTTTCTATTGTAAACAGTGCCGCAATGAACATACATATGCATGTGTCCTTATAATAGAACAATTAATAATCATTTGGATATATGCCCAGTAATGGGATTGCTGGGTCAAATGGAATTTCTATTTCTAGGTCCTTGAGGAATCACCACACTGTCTTTCACAATGGTTGAACTAATTTACACTCCCACCAACAGTGTAAAATTGTTCCTATTTCTCCACATCCTCTCCAGCATCTGTTTTCTCCAGATTTTTTAATGATCACCATTCTAACTGATGTGAGATGGTATCTCAATGTAGTTTTAATTTGCATTTCTCTAATGTCCAGTGATGATGAGCATTTTTTCATATGTTTGTCGGCCTCATGTATGTCTTCTTTTGAGAAGTGTCTGTTCATATCCTTTGTCCACTTTTGAATGGGCTTGTTTATTTTTTTCTTGTATATCTGTTTTAGTTCTTTGTAGATTTTGGATATAAGTCCTTTGTCAGATGGGTAGACTGCAAAAATTTTTTCCCATTCTGTTGGTTGCCAATTCACTCTAATGATTGTTTCTTTTGCTGTGCAGAAGCTCTGGAGCTTAATTAGATCACATTTCTCTATTTTGACTTTTGTTGCCAATGCTTTTGGTGTTTTAGTCATGAAGTCCTTGCCTATGCCTATGTCCTGAATAGTTTTGCCTAGGTTTTCCTCTAGGGTTTTTATGGTGTTAGGTCTTATGTTTAAGTCTTTAACCCATCTGGAGTTAATTTTAGTGTAAGGTGTCAGGAAGGGGTCCAGTTCCTGCTTTCTGCACATGGTTAGCCTGTTTTCCCAACACCATTTATTAAACACAGAATCCTTTCCCCATTGTTTGTTTTTGTCAGGTTTGTCAAAGATCAGATGGTTGTAGATGTGTGGTATTGCCTCCGAGGCCTCTGTTCTGTTCCATTGGTCTATATCTCTGTTTTGGTACCAGTACCATGCTGTTTTGATTACTGTAGCCTTGTAGTATAGTTTGAAGTCAGGTAGCATGATGCCTCCAGCTTTGTTTTTTTTTTTTTGCTTAGAATTGACTTGGCTATGTGGGCTCTCTTTTGGTTCCATATGAAGTTTAAGGTTTTTTTTCCAGTTCTGTGAAGAAGGTCATTGGTAGTTTGATGGGGATAGCGTTGAATCTATAAATTACTTTAGGCAGTATGGCCATTTTCACAATATTGATTCTTCCTAATCATGAGCATGGAATGTTTCTCCATTTGTGTCCTCTCTTACTTCGTTGAGCAGTGGTTTGTTGTTTTCTTTGAAGAGGTCCTTTACATCCTTTGTCACTTGTATTCCTAGGTATTTTGTTCCTTTTATAGCAATTATGAATGGGAGTTCATTCTTGGTTTGGCTTTCTTTAAGTCTGTTATTGGTATATAGGAATGCTTGTGATTTTTGCACATTGATTTTTTATCCTGAGACTTTGCTGAAGTTGCTTATCAGTTTAGGGAAATTTTGGGCTGAGACAATAGGGTCTTCTAAATATACAATCATGTCATCTGCAAATAGAGACAATTTGACTTCCTCCTTTCCTAACTGAGTACCCTTTATTTCTTTTTTCTTGCCTGATTGCTCTGGCTAGAATTTTCTTTGAATCAAATAACTACTGGAAATGTTTGTTTATAACACATATTCTTGTCATCACTGTCATGGTCGAATTCTGAGTTTTCATGATATCTTTTTCTAAAAGCAGACAGAAAATAGTTGAAAAAATAAGAAGTTAGGAAAAATGTGAGATGGGATTGGAGTACAACACTGTTTTTTCAGCTCAGGGAAATCCATTTCTATTTCTCAGAAACATCCATCTCCTAGGCCTCTGATTCTAATTTGAGTCAGGATATGAGAGAGATAGTGAAAGGAGGAGAAAAGAAAGAGAGAGAGATCCTGGGAAATATTTAAGGAACAATAGGACGTCCGAGGATTTGACTGGCAGATCAGAAGACCAAGAACAACTTGTTTTCTGTCTAGAATAAAAGGAGCTGACTTTTTCTAGAGCATCAATCCTTAGAGATGCTCATAGACGTTATGGACCTTTTCCTCAGAAAATATAAATGAATCTATGCACAGAGAATTTTGCACACAACCCCATGAGGTTTTTGTACATGCCCTGAAGTCCTTTCATGCACCTAAACCCAGAGTCCCTCATTTTATTACAATCATTCCCATAACTTCATGATCTCTTATCCTCAAAGTGGAACACATCATTTCCTTATTTGCTGTTTTTCATGGCTAGTATTTTTTAGTTTTACATCATATCTTTGGTATTTCTAAGAAGAACAAAAAATTAAAAAACAGTGTATCTCATCCAGACTAAATCTGCCTTCCGTGATAATTTATAGCTTTGACTGTTCAGATTGGGTTTTGAGTCAATCCAGAGTAGCCTTCGTCCTTTACCCTCCCAGCAGGGCTGACAGATGGTTATTTTCCTTCCAGTAGATTGAATGTCACAGCTATAGGTGCCTTTCGTAGCTGTGCTATTATCAAATAGATGGGATATGGGAATACACAGGAACATTTGAGAAGTGGCCAGGAAGAAAGAGGGAGAAAGCTGGAAATAAAACAGGTCAGAAGAGGGCATCCTGAGGCGTGTCTGGGATGGCAACAGCATCCCTGTCTCTCCTACGTCAGTACTTTCTGCTTCTCAGGCATGTCTCTTACCTGGCTGTGAGCCTTCCTTATGAATATGTAGGGCTGGAGGCTCATTTCTGACTTTTTTCTAAAGGTCATAAGGGTTCAGCATTTGAATGGCAAATTTGAAGATGACTCTACCTGTCCTGTACTACAGCTTATTACAAAGGCTTGTCTGTATAAATGTCATATGAAATAAAGTCTAAAGTAGCACAGTCAATGGGAAGGCTTGTTGTCTAGCGCAAATATATTAAGACAATTCTGAGATACAGCAATATATGTTTATATATATTTCATCATTTTAAATAAATCTAAACAATTTATTTCAATGTTTTGGTAACCCTGCATTCTTATGCTTTAAAGGTGATTTGTTTTAATGATATTCATTTTTCAATTATTTTAGGATATTCTGATGCTGGGTGCAGTGGGAGCTTTTGGCTGGAGTGGGACCATAGTCCAGAAGACTTCTCATGACCATTTGATCTTTCCTAAACAAGCCTTTGACCAAATTCTGCAGGACAGAAATCACAGTTCATATTTAGGTAAGGCATAGAAATAATTGGCTCAGCAAACGTAAGTTCTCTGGCTTTAAACCAGCCTTGAACTGTCATCTAATTGTCACATTTATTACACATATCTATGTTGTCTCTTTGCTAGTCAGGCCTTAAGGGATAACTGCTTATTGGAATACTATATTATACCCACTAATTTCCTCTGGCTGGTCAAGTGGTCATAATTCCTGGAACATGATTGTGTTCCTCCAAAATGGAAATAGTTCCCAAAAGCTAATACAGTAGGTGATAGTCTTATATTATTGTAGAGCTCTTAGTCTTCTTGTTCTTATAATAAGCAGCCACTGATTTTGCAGACTTACTATGGGACGGTTCCTGAGCTGGCTAGTCTATCTACGTAAACATTTACATCATTCCAGCCAGTCTTTCAGGGATATTTTGCCTTTGAGAGATAGCAAGATTAATAACTTGCCGAATGTCCAACAACCTAGTAAGTGGCAAATCCAGAATTCGAACTTCAGACTGTTTCCAAGGCCTGTGTTCTTTCTACTGTGCAACACTACCTTTTAAATACATTTATTAATTTACTCTAGAAATATTTGTTGAACGCCAGGTTCATAGGTGGCTGATGAGGATAACCTAGAATCTAGAGGCAGCTTTATAGGTAAAAGTTCCACCTACATGGGGAAGTGCTGCAGGTCAAAGGACAGGAGCAATTCATCTTAGAAAAAAGACTTGTCCTCAGTGATGTATTCAGGAGCACTAGGAGCTTTGCATCGTATCTAACAACAGAGGATCTCTGGTCACCTCTGCTCACTTCTTTTAACTTTATCTTGCTGAGATATTCAACGGTACTCACTCTGTAACTCCTTCCCTTTTAGGTTACTCTGTGGCTGCAATTTCTACTAGAGAAAACACCCACTTTGTTGCTGGTGCTCCTCGGGCAAATTATACTGGCCAGATAGTACTGTACAGTGTGAACGAGAATGGCAATGTCACAGTTATTCAGGCTCACCGGGGTGACCAGGTAAATCTCATTGTTTAGCAGGTGAAACTAATTTTATGGGTAAATGAGCAGGTGAGGAGTCCAGTGAGTAGAAATGGAAACCAACATGGCCTGAGTGGCTACTCTGTGACTGGCTCTGTAATCTGAGTTTACTTAGTGTATTCCTTAGATCTTCACAACAATACCAAGAAGACCACCCTCCCTTTTGACAGCTTACTGGGAATTTAGCTAGCTTTCTAAGGTCACGCAGCATCAATGGATTGAGCTGTCACTACAACTCAGTCTTTTCTGGACTCAGAGGCTGTGCTGTTTGGTTACGTCCCCTCCATATTTTTGACTCCCTGGATTAAGCATGGACATTATTTAGCTATGATGGCAGGCCCCTAACCACTGCTTTGTAGGTAAGCACACACTGGGAACAAGGATTTGCAGAGGAAATAATGAGAAGGGAGTAGTATAACATTATAAGGACTGAGCTTCTACATCTGGACCTGTCTTGTTTTTGAAGATTCTAAAAGTAAAACAGTTATCTTCTCTGCCACTTCCTATGGATGGGTGACAGTTTGGTAGTCAGACCCTATGATGAATCCCAGTTGTGGCTCACTACAGCAAAGGTCTGTTGCTAGAGCAAAGGCCAGCTGATTGGTTCCTGTTTCCTTACTAAACAGTTTTGACCCAGGGGCTTGGTGCACATTTAAAATGGGCATCACTGATCCCTGACAACCAGCAAAAAGTGGTTTCCTTCTTAGAGTTTGAGAAACTTACAAAGATTTCTCTTCTCTGGATTAAGTATGATCCTGCAGCTGCTATGGATTTTCTAGGAGTAAGAAGATCTGAGTTCTTGACTTCCTTGACCACAAATTAGCTATGGACATACTTTTACTCTCTTTTTTTAAAATACTTTAAAGAAGTTCTTTTTTAATTTAAAAATAACAGTGACAGTGTTGTGGAAGGAATCATTTCTTAGTCATTTCTAAATCCTTAAAAAGTGTTCACCTAGGCATTCATTGAACATTGAATGGGTTGAATGTTCAAAGTCCCAGCATTTCTTATTTTGGTTTAGCTCCGCTAGTCCTCCTGTGATAGCCTATCCAGCAACTACTTACCTGTTTCACATTATGACATGTACACTTACATCATCACATGTGATGTCCCCCTTCCCTCTGCCTAGAAATCTCGATATCCTTCTTACTTTGCAATTCAAATGATATTTTAGCTTTCTAAGCCTTCGTGACTCTCCTGCTCTCTGATAGCTCAGCATTTGGGACTTGCCTCTATTACAGTTTATTTTACCATAGAAGCTTAATGATTTGTTCTCCCTGCCTCTATTCCTCCTGCCTTTCTCTATAACAGACCTCACGTACCTACGAAAGGTTTGTCTTATGTCTTTGACCTTCTGGCGTCAGAAACACCTGGAATGCTAATTTAAAGTGCTGTTTTCTGAATCACATCCTAGACATTACAACAGAATCTCTAGAAATGGGTTTCAGGGATCTGTATTTCAAAGGCATTTTCTTGGAGATTCTTGTGCACAACTAGGATTTAAGAACCAAGTGTCAGATGGTGTTCGAACCTGAGGGAAGGGACTATGCTGTCTGTCTTCACGTTCCCAGCACTTTGCAAACAGTAAACACTCAATTTTTATGTATTGAATGTGCAAGTAAATGTTCAATGTAATATTAGAAGTATATGAATCCCAGAAATTCTAAGTTTAACATGCTTTATTACTCCAGATTGGCTCCTATTTTGGTAGTGTGCTGTGTTCCGTTGATGTGGATAAAGACACCATTACAGATGTGCTCTTGGTGGGTGCACCAATGTACATGAATGACCTAAAGAAAGAGGAAGGAAGAGTCTACCTGTTTACTATCATAAAGGTAAAATAATCATTCAATTGACAGTTTAATTTGCTTTAGGACTGATGATTTAATCTGCATTTGGAAAGAAAAATTTATTATTAATAAATGATAATTTGCATGGATAGTATGGTTTACATTTCATTATTTTTGAGGATGTCCCCATTAAGTTATGATTTTAAAAATCACATTAACAGGAAAAACTAGAGTTTAATATATAGTGTACAGCCATTTTCCATGAGAGGTCTTTGAATATATTGTCCGTTAGACAAATAAAGCCATTATAAGTACACATCGTTTACTGAAATATGTGCACGTGCACACATGCGCGCACACACATATGCACACACACATGTACACACACACACAAACATTTCGGTATTTCTCTAGTATCACATGTAATTTTTTGCTGCAAAGATAACAATATCAGGGCAATGCTTTCTTGTTATCAATTAACAGTGAAAAATACCAGTCGTATCAGGCACTTTTTTAAATGCCAAATGATCCCAGATGCTTCCTACATTAGTTTGTCAGGAAATGTCATTGCTTAGTGTAACGTTTAAGTATGTGTCCAACTCTTGAAGTATCGAGTTCTTCCACAAAAAACAGCATACATTAACATGGAAAAGCATAATTTTCCCAATTTGTAGACTGAACTCCCTAAATCCACATAATATAAGTATGGTGAACTCCATGAAATATAAAAAAAGAAAAATTAGAGGCACAGATTGACACAGAAAATTATATGACAACACAAGGGAAAGAATGGAAAAAGAGAAGCTGATGATGTTAATGTCATATTATGTTTAAGTGTTGTGATATTTTGTCCCAGCTGATTTATTGACATTAATGTAAAAATTAGCTTTGTAACAACAGAAGTAATTAAAACAATTCTAAAGCAATTATAAATATAAAATGTGTAATTGCATATACAAAGCCTAGACCTTTTACTTGTTTGAAAAACTGACAAACCCCCCATTCTGTAAATATTTCTTACTTGTCAGATATACTGAATTATCATTAATTGTTAAAGATGAAAAGATCTTTTAATGCCATGTCAAACTCAGTAAGAATTTCTGTAAGATTATAATAGAGGAGGAAGAATCAACACTGACCCAGTTTCATGGTTGAGAACATTGCTTTCTTGTGAAGTCATGAAATATTTCCATACTTGATTATAAAATCTCAGAAAAACACTGTGTTTTACAAGGAAATGTCTTCTCCTTTGCACAGAATTATTTAGTGTTTTTTATAATGCAATATTAGCAATCTCATTTTCTACTTCCTGTACCACTATAATTATGTGACTATTTGGTAATTTTTACAGAAACACTAAATTAAGATATTGTGTTTTATTTTCTTCTGTGCCTACTTCAGTTTCATTCAAGATATTAGTAGTTTGCACCAGAAACATTTTAAATCATTTAAATGATTTAAACATTTAAATTAAAAGGTTGGAAATAGGTGAAGATTGTATTATTGAGAGGAAAATAAGACAAAAAATGGATGTTGTTCAGCTACAGTAAAGAGAATTACCTCCTTTCACTGTGGTTTATGAGCAGATATTTATGACCTTAATGAAATTCTTATTTACAATTCTGATCATAAAAAGAGAATTTTGAATTTCAGGTTTAAAATTTTATCCATTTTTAACATTAAAAAATTAGTTTGGCCATCAATTGCTCGGAATCTTTTTTTCTTTCTTATTTTATCATATTTTAATAGATGGGGTCTCACTCTGTCACCCAGGCTGGAGGGCAGTGGTGTGATCAGAGGTCACTGAAGCCTCAAATTCCTGGGCTCAAGCGATCCACCCAACTCAGCCTCCTGAGAGCTAGGACTACAAATGTGTGCCACCACATCTGGCTAACTTTCTACAAAAATGTCTTGCATAGACAGGGTCTCACAATGTTGCCCAAGCAGGTCTTCAATATCAGACTTCAATTAGTCCTTCTGCCTCAGCCTCTGGAGTCTTTGGGATTACAGGCATGCGCCACCACACCCAGCTGCTCCGAATTTTATTTATACAAGTTGTAAGGTGTGCTTTATTCATCCTTTCTTTCCCCCTTTGCAAGGGCATTTTGAGTCAGCACCAATTTCTTGAAGGCCCCAAGGGCATTGAAAATGCTCGATTTGGTTCAGCAATTGCAGCTCTTTCAGACATCAACCTGGATGGCTTTAACGATGTGATTGTTGGTTCACCACTAGAAAATCAGAATTCTGGAGCTGTATACATTTACAATGGTCATCAGGGCACTATCCGCACAAAGTATTCCCAGGTAATCCATGAGCTGCACGGTGATGTATATATCTGTGGGTCTTAGCATATTAGAGATAGAAAGTATCATGTAAACCATGCAGCCTGTCCCTCTTATTTTGTAACTTCATTCTTTCGCTCACCAAATATTAAGTGAGCCTCAACTATGTGCCAAGCACTGGTCTAGACTCTGGGGATGCTGTAAGAACAGGGCAGACACAATTCTGATCTTTGTGTGCCTTACATTATGTTGAAGGAGACAAATGGAAAAAAAAACGAAGTAGATAAGATAAAGTGTTCCAGATAGTAATAAACAATTGTTTTTAAAAGCAAAGAAAACTAAAATAGTAAATACAATTTCAGAAATAGAGGAGTATCCGGTGGTTGAAGGGGTGACTAACGAGGCCTCGCTGAGTAGCCAGTTTTGGAGTAAGACCTGAAGGAAAAGAACTTGCACCTGAACTTGCATCAGTTTGCTCCCAGTCCATTGATCTTTTCATTGGTTTATGATTTTTTATTAAAGATTTATGCTGTCTCCTTGATGTAAATGTGGCTGTAAGAGTGATACAGAGATCATATGACAAGACCTGATTGAAAAACTCGTCCTTAGAATTTGTAGAGAATAAACACAATCTGGAAAATGACTATATAGAAAATGTAATAATGAAATGCAGGGGCTGCCATTTTCTGGTTCGGCTGTTGTGTGCTATAATTTTGTGACAAACTTGCTCTTTTAGAAAATCTTGGGATCCGATGGAGCCTTTCGGAGCCACCTCCAGTACTTTGGGAGGTCCTTGGATGGCTATGGAGATTTAAATGGGGATTCCATCACCGATGTGTCCATTGGTGCCTTTGGACAAGTGGTTCAACTCTGGTGAGTCAGAATGAGCCAGAAACAAACTAAAAATTACCTGCTAAGAAAGCAGAACAGATGTCTGTACTGGTATTATAGAAATGCCACATGCATTCTATGAGAATCTATCTATAGGGAAATGATGTATCATAGTTTGTGTAAAGGAATAAAAAGTGGGAAAAATAGATATATTTTCTTATCTTAGAAATACATTTTTCAATTGATAAAATGGAGGCAATATTTGTTCTGCCAATTTCATAGAAATGTCTTAAGGAGGAAGTGAGGTCATGTGTTAGTTACCTAGAGGGCTGAGCTAGGGTCAGAAATCAGCACTATACCTGAGATGGACTCCTCAACCTTTTTCTGACTAGGTTATTTGCCATCATTATGGCCATATGCCACACTTCAAAGGACCACTGTCAGCCTCTGGACACCAGAAAAACAGCCACAGCCACACTCTTCAGTCCTGCCTCCCTCACCTTCCCACCTTCTCTCTCCCTTACCTTTGTGAGAAGAGTGAACATTACTGCTTCCATTTGGCAAAACACAACAGTGACCATTTTACCTGTCACTTGCCAAGAGGTTGCAGACTCCCATCCTGTTCTCATGTGTGTGTTTATTTAATAAAAAAATTAAACATGGATTGTATTGGTGATGCAGTCACAAATTTAAAAAAAAAAAATTATCCTGTCTTTCATCTTAAAGCTTCCAAATGTAAACTACTGCTAAAGTGCTTTGATAGAGAGTGGAGAGAAAAATTCAGTAATGCTGGTACTGGGTCCTTTATGATAAAGGATATAATATGTGTGTTCAGTAATAACATTCATCCATCTGTTTCTGTTTATGTCTTTTAGGTCACAGAGTATTGCTGATGTAGCTATAGAAGCTTCATTCACACCAGAAAAAATCACTTTGTTCAACAAGAATGCTCAGATAATTCTCAAACTATGCTTCAGTGCAAAGTTCAGACCTACTAAGCAAAACAATCAAGTGGGTGCGTAGATCTGAAATCATCTGCATAGAAATTGGCTTACAGAGTTTTAGACCTGAATATATTTTGGTTTATAGGCCAAGGGAAATAAGGGCCTTCAGTTAATAGAGGCTTAAGCTGCCGTACATTGGAGATGCCTGAGAATGGTTCATTAATCATGGAAGGTTTGTTTAGCTCTTCCTTCCACATCTCTAGAAGGTTCTGCTGCAGTTAATTGTAACCTCTATGACATAACCAAGGGCCCTCATGCTTCCATCCTTTGAGTTTCTCTTACCTCCAGTTCTCTTACATAAAACCTTGAGCACGCACAGATTATGCTAAACTGCCACTTAAATGAGCATACCATGTTGGCTGTGCCATGATCTATATAGGACAGGTTCAGTAAAAGTATCAAGTATTTTTCAAATCAATGTACTTAGATGACCAGTCAAGTTCTTGAGGAATTAGTAAGCGTAAAATAATGAAAGAAAAAATGGAAAGCAATATATATCTTTTGCTAATACATATAAGCGAAAGTGAGGTGAGGAAATCATTGTGGCCAAGTATCAGTAGGAATTGTCTTTTTTCTTGGGCTGGCCACATTGTCTTTCAAGGCCTGGCAAAGGTCCTGCCTCCTCTTGGAAGCTTTTTCTAAGCACACTATTTAACTTTCATCTCCCCTGCCCCAATTATCTTATCATGCTCAATACAAAGCTTGCAATTTAGCACTTGATTCAAGGCTAACTTCTTTCATTAATCGCTGCTTCATGGGTCCTAATTCCCCTTCCATCAGAATTTGGCTTTAAACTTCAGAACCTGTAGTTCCTACAGGAATCAGCTAAGTGACAAATAAATTAACTTAAAGCTGAAAATATGGAAGCAGGTTATTTGCCATAATTCATACCGAGACACAAATTAGGTGAGAACACAAAGCAAAATTAGATTCACATCTTAACACACTTTCCATGTTGTCCACTTTTCATATCCATTTGGAAGTTTTCCATACAGGTGTTCAAACATTGACCCAGTTTTGAGTAGCATATCTCACTTGACCTGCCTTGTAGCACATCTAACTTAGCACATGTGATCGTTAAGTCAAAAACCGTTGCTGTGTAAACATTGTGGCTAGTCTGCCTAGTTAAGTCAAAAACCGTTGCTGTGTAAACATTGTGGCTAGTCTGCCCAATAGATTAACTAGGGAAATATATTAGTTTGCAGAAACAGCTGGCTGGTCAGCTCTTCTGGCCCTGAAGCATAGATCTGTCTCATGTATCTTCCCTTTTTGAATATACTTCAACCCTTATGGCGATGCACACTCAAAAATTCTACTTTCAGAGAATTTCCTTCCCATCCACTGGTTGCCGAGGGTTTCTGGCCTTCCTTACTGTTGGGCATCTTTCCCTGTAAATCTTTTTCCCTGATGCCTTCAGGTCCACACAGACAAGCCAAATGAAATGATTGCGAGCTCATTTATCACTTCATTGCTTGGCAGTAATAGTATGTAAGACATGAATCCCATCTACACAACTGTGAAAAGTGAATGTATAAAGCATATGGTTTCTATCATTTATTGCATCAGGTGCACACTCCAGTTTAAGATTAATAACATAGCCTATGAAGCTATGTATCATTTTTACAAAGCTACTTGAAAAATAAAAGGAAAAGCATTATAATGTGGACTTTGTCCTAACTGCACTCACCTTCCTGCCATTGTTTTTCCTTTACATCATCTTCACTACTTATTTTTAGTTTATTTAATTCTTTAATATTTTATCTATGTTTGTGGGCATTGTTAAGTCACTGGAGCAAGGAAAATTGTACAACATATATAATAAATTTTTTCAAGGTAACATGTAGAATTCATGTTTTGTGAAGGATATACAACTTTTAAAATATTGAATATAATAAAATAAGATAAAGCAACCCCAAATAAGGCAGTTGATGCTGTGAACGGCACCAGGGGTTCTCTCTCAATTTTGGACATTCGGCCAGTGGACATTAGTTGAAGACAATAATTCTGATAGTTTGGACATTGGCTACTGACATCAGTTGTTACCACTTTTTTTTTTTCATGGGTTGGTATTAGGAAACAGCAGTTCAGAGAGGGTAAGTAAGTTGCCCCAAGTCACAGAGCTCATCAACTGCAGAATTAGGATTCAAACCAAGTCTGCCTGAGTCAGACCTTTTTGCTCAGCATTGCATGTGAGCATCTAGAATATGCCAGGCACCGTTCATGTTCCCTTAGAGTAGCTCAGGTAATCTTCACAAAAACAATTCATTCTTAAAACTGCATGGAAGCAGAAAGAACATGAGCTCTTATTTCCAAAATGGCCAACTTTTTCTTCTGACTAGCTGTGTGAACTTAGGTGACTTATTTTACATTACTTATCCTAATTTATTATTTGAAAAATAAGATAATAAAATTCACTTTCCGGATTCATTGTAAAACTTGTATGGCATATATGAGAATGTGTCCAATCGCAGGCACTCAGCCACTTATCCTTTCCATTCTGTGTCTCCGTGTTATGAGTAATGAAGCTCGTGCTTGCGGGAGTGAGCAATTTGCCCAAGTTCATCACACTAGGTTTCCTGGCGGCAAGTCCAGTTTTCTTTCCACTGTTCCCAGCCACATTTCTCTGAATCACATTTCTTTGTATGCACAGTCACCTACATCACATCAGAGCTAGAATGACAAATGCTATGTGGTGCTATGGTTCACAAGCCACCAATATGAAGACTAGTTCCATATTTTCTTGATATGAGATACTTTGTCCAAGAAGACACAATGAAGCAGAGATGCTTTTTCCTATAAGCTTATTTGGAATAACATTTCTTTATAATTTTTTTCATAGCCATTGTGTATAATATCACACTTGATGCGGATGGATTTTCATCCAGAGTAACCTCCAGGGGGTTATTTAAAGAAAACAATGAAAGGTGCCTGCAGAAGAATGTGGTAGTAAATCAAGCACAGAGTTGCTCTGAGCACATCATTTATGTACAGGTGAGGCCTCAGGACCATCTCTCTTCACTTTATTTCTTTTTAAAGACAAATGAGTGGTAAAAGACTAAAATGGAAGCATATGAGTTAGAAAATGCTTGCCCTTCTAATGAATGCCTGCCTTATAATTCCATCAACAAGAAGCATAATTCCTTTATGCTAATACTTATGGTCACAATCTATTATTACATAAGTCAGCATCATCAAATTTCACTTGGAACTGCAATGAAAGGGCTAAAAATATGATTCTTAAAAAATCATAGATACAGTGCTTTCTTAAATGTTTAACAGAACTTTCCATTGGCAATAAATTTTATTTTGATATTTTCCTATCAGGGAAAAAATTCTATTCATTTTTCAGCTACTGAAAAATAATTCCAATTGTGGTTTCTATTATTAGATTTAAGTTAACATAGATAAAGTGTAGCAGATTATGAGATAACAATTATTTGTTCTAATTGTATGCTATAATTACTGTATTTAACATGGATTTTGAAAATTTCCCAAGAAAAACGCTTTTCAGGAGAAAACTTCCACCCAGAAATTTATTTTATAAATGATGTGACTCTTTCCACCTTGGAAACCACATAATGACATTTGAAAGGGTAATTTACTCGGGAAGCCACTTTTTTGAAAGGCTATTTAAGTACTTTCTTAGAATACAGTTCTCAGAATTTAAGGCGCAAAAGAACTGCTGGGGAAACTTTTGTGAAATGTATATTGGGTCCCTATCATCATAAATCTAGGTTTGAAGGCCCAAGGAATATGCAGGTCTGAGGGCCCCAGGTATCCAATGTAAATAGATGCTACAGAGAGATCTTACTTCAAGAAATGCAAAGTATAAACACTAGAAAAACATAAAGTTGACGATTAGATGAATTAAAATCAGTTGAGTTGTTTAGTTCGTTTTTCAATCTGAAGGTTTCTTGTTTGTGAGGGCCTTGACTTTTTTTGTTGTTAAGGTGACAATTTTACAGATTCTTTAAATGGAAAAAATCTTGTTTTCCTTCTCTCCTATCCTGTGCTAAGTGATGTATCAGATTATACATGTAATCCCTAGTGAGGGAATGAAGACAGCCAAGCTGTTTTTCTTTAAAAAGGAAAGAAAAGAAAAAGACCCATTTTGACTATTTGATGTCAATACCAGTTAAAGTCCATTCTACTTGCTAAGCCCACAGCCAGCCAAGAAAACATCTCCTTATAGTCTAGAGCTGTCATGTTAGACAGGCCCCCAGAAGGGTTCAAGAGGCAGGAGTAAGCCCTGCCTGTGAATGGACTAAAGAATACCAAGATACCCCTTCTGAAGAAAAGGCAAATTCAAATTTTTGGGTTTCATGTGTATAGACATAGTGCTTTCTCGACAAGAACTGATGAGCTTAACTAAGAATTTCTGCTTCAAATTCTTATAAAACCCAAGCCTCCTTCGATTTCTTAGTAGAAGAGAGGCTGAAAGCAGAATGAGGATGGAAGAGAAGAAGTAAGGATCTTGAGCATTCAAAACAAAGATATTCTACCTGATTGAGAATTGACTGTGTTCCTAATTATAAACATATTTGTAATCATTTTCTTGTTTTAATGCTGCTATGCCCTAATAAACTGACTCTCTCTCTCTCCTTGTATGTGTGTATGTTTAGGAGCCCTCTGATGTTGTCAACTCTTTGGATTTGCGTGTGAACATCAGCCTGGAAAACCCTGGCACTAGCCCTGCCCTTGAAGCTTATTCTGAGACTGCCAAGGTCTTCAGTGTAAGTGCAGCTTACCCCTCATGGATTTAGACTGGCCCACAGAGTTTCACAGTCACTGCAATAGTGTCTGAAGGATACTTAGGATGCAGCCTGTAAATTCAACATAGTATTGGAAGTTCTGAGTAAAGCCATCAGGCAAGAGAAAGAAATAAAAGGTATTTGAATAGGAAGAGAGGATGTGAAATTGTCCCTGTTTGCAGATGACATGATTGTATATTTCGAAAACCCCATCGTCTCAGCCCAGAATCTCCTTAAGATGATAAGCAACTTCAGCAAAGTCTCAGGTTACAAAATCAGTGTGCAAAAATAGTAAGCATTCCTATACCCCAATACTAGACAAACAGAGAGCCAAATCATGAGTGAACTCCCATTCACAATTTCTACAAAGAGAACAAAATACCTAGGAATACAACTAACAAGGGATGTGAAGGACTTCTTCAAGGAGAACTACAAGCCACTGCTCAAGGAAATAAGAGAGGATACAAACAGATGGAAAAACATGCCATGCTTATGGTTAGGAAGAATCAGTATCGTGAAAATGGCCCTGCTGCCCAAAGTAATTTATAGATTCAGTGCTATCCCCATCAAGCTACCAATGATCCTCTTCACAGACCTGGAAAAAAAAACACCTTAAACTTCAGATAGAATCAAAAGAGAGCCTGCATAGCCAAGACAATCCTAAGCAAAAAAAAAAAAAAAACAAACCACAGCTGGAGGCATCATGCTACCTGACTTCAAACTATATTATAAGGCTACTATAATCAAAACAGCATGATACTGGTACCAAAACAGAGATATAGACAAATGGAACAGAACACAGGTCTCAGAAAGAACGCCACACAACTACAACCATCTGATCTTTGACAAACCTGACAAAAACAGCAATGGGGAAATGATTCCCTATTTAACAAATAGTGTTGGGAAAACTGGCTAGTTGTAGACAAAAAGCTGAAACTGGATCCCTTCCTTACATCTTGTACAAAAATTAACTCTAGCTGGATTAAAGATTTAAACATGAGGCCTAACACCATAAAAACACTAGAAGAAAACCTAGGCAATACCATTTAGGACATAGGCATGGGCAAGGACTTCATGACTAAATTCTTAATTTTCTAAATGAAATACAATTACATATATGTAAAATTCACTAACATTGAAGTTCCATGACAGCAGGGATTTTTGTCTTTCTTGTTCACTGCTGTATTTCCAGTCCCTAAGGCAGGGCTGGCCCATTGTATGTGTTCAACAAATACTTGTTGAAGAAATAAATAAAAATAAAGTAAATGGCTTGTGCTTACCAGTCAAAAAATGAAATATTACCAATACATATGAAGCTCTGTGTATAGCTGTCCCCACCATAGACACTTTCATCTAGCTCCCCTATGCAAATGATTATCCTGATTTTTTTGTTTATTAATGCTTTACTATTTTGCTAAACATTTATATATTCCTGAAACATTATTTGGTTTTGTACTTTATGTAATTAGAATAATACCGTATGTATTCTTTTGTAATTTGCTTTTTCAACCCGAGAGCAAACATGCGGATCTTTTTTTTCCTTTTTTGTAGATTCCTTTTCATAAAGACTGTGGTGAGGATGGAGTCTGCATTTCTGATCTAGTGCTAGATGTCCAACAAGTACCAGCTGCTCAGTAAGGTTTACTTTAAAGCTTGTTGTAAAATGTAGAAATAAAAAACGCAGTAGATTACTTTATTCAAATCAATGTTTATGGAGTTTTTCTACAAAAGAAAATTCACAACTAATAAAGACCTTTAAAAACTAAATTTCAATTTCTACCATCCACATGGGAGTAAAACAATAAGAAATATTAAATTATCTGTATTTAAATGGTTCCATTCCCTCTAATGTAATAGCAACAAAGAACAAAATCCAATTGTATTTACTTATTGTCAGTATCATTTTAATGCAAAGATAGTTTATTATGCAGCAATTTTCTCAGTGCTCTAAATAAGTCTAAAGAGTTTCAGATTTTAATGAGTGAAATTTTGAAATACTGCCCTTTTTATTGAACAGTAATGTTTTTTCCCGCCTCCTTTTGACTTTTAACAGAGAACAACCCTTTATTGTCAGCAACCAAAACAAAAGGTTAACCTTTTCGGTAACGCTGAAAAACAAAAAGGAAAGTGCATACAACACTGGAATTGTTGTTGATTTTTCAGAAAACTTGTTTTTTGCTTCATTCTCCCTGCCGGTATGTGATGAGACCCTCCACTTCCCTCCGCCACATTTCCTCCTTATCAATCACTGTCCTCTCTATGTCCTCTGAGTTGTTTATAGAAGCACCTTAACCCTCAGCATGATCAGTCTGAACTTCATGGCTTCTACTAGTTAAACCACATGAGAACATAGTCTGGCTCTATATCTAGATTCTGCTTGACAGCTTGGGTCAGTTTTTCCTTTACCCTGAGACTTGGCAGCAGTAGCCAGACACTCGCATAACTCTTCTTGAACCATCAGTGTGATGAGGCTGCTGCATTCTGCACAGATGTAGTGCACTTGCTCTGAGACATTTACGTCCCAAAGCTTAGCCTGAGCTTTGCAACTACGTTTCTTGCTGCTGCCAAGATGATGCACGCCAGCAAAGCCAGTTAATCACATTGACTTGATTGCTATACCAGGAACACGCTTGACCATGAGTGCTCCCTGGTCACTCCCCTACCACCAAATAATGAAGAAAAAACGGGAGAGAAGGGAACGCTGAGATTTTCCAAATCAACTACTTGATTAAAGAATTAAACAATGGTTTCATTTAATTTAAAGTTAATGTGACCTTAGTAGGTTTAGAGTTCTAAACCTATCCTGACCTTGGTTTTTAAACATCCTGTGCCAAGTGGCAACTACTTTTTTAAAGGGGAAAAAAACCTGAAGAAAGTGAAAAAAGACCCTTCAAATTGTTTAAAACACAAACACCAGTATGTGATTTTATTTTCTTCTCTTGAAAATGTTTCAAATAAATTGAGAAAAAGGTATTCCTAAAGCCAGCATTTCTAAATATTGAATTAAAGCTATTTGTGCATCTGAAATATAAAAACTATTATTTGTTTCTGGGGAAAAAACTACAGTATTTAATCTTTCCTTAGGTTTGTTGGATATCCTAGGTATCTTTAGGATTAGCAATAAAAATAGTATATTAGCCACCTGGGCAGTATACAATTTCAGGTCTTGAAATAAACTATTTCAGTATGAACCAACCTTACCGCTAAAATATCACTGCACCTCTTTTACCAGGTGTGTGCATGCACACACAAATGTTGCAAGGCAACTGATTGTTATTGTTTCCTTGGTCTTGTTCAGGTTGATGGGACAGAAGTAACGTGTCAGGTGGCTGCCTCTCAGAAGTCTGTTGCTTGCGATGTAGGCTACCCTGCTTTAAAGAGAGAACAACAGGTACAACTTGCATTTCATCCTCGAATCTATGCAAGCCCTCCTCAGCACACATGTTCATTTACCAGCGTAACATCTTGCTATCATCATTTGATAGGCATCACAAAATAATTGGCTGCATACTTAGGGGAAGTTTTCAGTATCTGAGTGTTTTCTTTAAATTATTAATAACACGTGGATTTTCTCCACATAATTCATTCCAAAAGGCACACACAATATGGAAAGTTCTTTTTGTCGGAATATGTTGAGTAGCATTGGTCAAAGCACTATACACAGAGTCACAGAGATCATTCATTTACCCCTGGTAACAAGTTTCACATCAGCTCAACCTTCCAGATTCAGACAGGTATAATATACGCCTGGATAACTTACATGTGTCACTTGAAAGTCAAGCTTATCTAATTCTAACGTGAGGCATAGTAAAACAAGGTGCACAAATCAGTAAAGATTTTCTACAAATTTGAAAGCCTAAGGTATATAAAATTCAGAATCAAATTTTTGGGAAACTTTTATAGGAAACATTTTTTTTTCATGTTGGCCCCTGAGTATGAAGCATGATAGACTGACAAATTTTAATTTTGTGTATAGGTGACTTTTACTATTAACTTCGACTTCAATCTTCAAAACCTTCAGAATCAGGCATCTCTCAGTTTCCAAGCCTTAAGGTAAAACATGATGAAGTCATGAATGGAATAATGGATAGCTTTATATTTCTCTTTAAGTAATTTCCTTATGTTTCTTTCAATAGTGAAAGCCAAGAAGAAAACAAGGCTGATAATTTAGTCAACCTCAAAATTCCTCTCCTGTATGATGCTGAAATTCACTTAACAAGGTAAGTGAAGCAGTGAGTAGCCTGTTACCACTGACACCAATTCTAGATTAGAAGATTTTTGGCTCATGGCTAAAGAAGTCCTCTGTATGCTCATTCTTTTTTTTTTTTTTTTTTTTTTTTTTTGAGCCGGTGTCTCACTCTGTCACTCAGGCTGGAGTGCAGTGGTGCAATCACCTCACTTTAACCTCCACCTCCCAGGTTCAAGTGATTCTCCTGCCTCAGCCTCCTGAGTAACTGGGACTGCAGGCATGCGCCACCACACCTGGCTAATTTTTATACTTTTACTAGAGATGGAGTTTCACCATGTTGACCATGTTAGTCTCAAACTCCTGACCTGTGATCCATCCACCTCAGCTTCCCAAAGTGTTGGGATTACAGGCATGAGCCACCATGCCTGGCCTGTATGCTCATTCTTAACTGAAGAATTTGAATTAAAATTCTTGTCAACTAAAACAGAAGTCCACAGGCATGGTGGTCCCTAGGAAAACCTTGAGTGAGTCATTATGTTTATTAAACTAATGAGAGCACCCCGAAAAGACAGAGAAAGACCGCTGTAGCCACACATCACAGGCACACTCCACGTTACAGGCCCTCTGAGTAGCTGCAAACATTCCCAAAACATCGAAACAGAACTCTCAAAGGTCCTGAGTGTTGCCTGCACTTTCTTCTCCCTGCCTACTTCCCACTGTATATGAGATCTCAAGCAGTAGCCCCATTCCTGGACATTGAAGCCCCAAGCACAGTGTTTTGCACATGGTGGGTACGCAATAAATATTGAATCTAGTCACAGGTTGAATATTCAAATATTGAATCTAGATCAAGTCTGGTTTCTGAGTGGAAAATGCCTAACATATCAGATTAGGGTTTTCTTCCAGCCAGGAGGAAACAAGGTTTTTTCCAAAGGAGATCATCCATAAAGAAATGCTTTGTTCCCTGTTTTTACCTGCCCAAAGTGAGCAAACCTGAGAGCAGTGGTGTAAATGTCACTGGTTGATACCAGCTGTCTTTAATTGTTCAGAGTGACGGATGTCTTGGGAAGTGGGTAACATACAAATTTCACAGGTACTAATAGGTTGATATCACTTTAACTCACACTTAGAAGTAAGGTGAGTTCGTGGCACAGACAAACTGGAGCACGGATGCGCAGGTGTGCTGGTCACAGCTGATGCCCTCCTCCAAGCTTGGGAACCAGAGTTCTCTACCTGATGAAGCACTAGGAAAACTTCCCAGCACAGATCAAGGACCTCCAAATAGCACACTGCGGCATTTTCCCAAGAAATCTAGTGACAGCAGGTTTGTCTAGTTTCTACCACATCACCCCAGTCCTAAGAGCATCGAATTTGTAGATATCCAATAGCTCTCTGAGCAAAAACAAAAAGGAAAATATGTCATCATGTCTAGAGCTTGAGACACATGAGCAAAGATGAAAAGAATGCTTCTGTATCGAGTGAGTTGCAAACAGCACAAGCAGAAGCAAAATACAGTCCAAATAATACATCTCTGAAAAATTCATCAGTAACTGCAGACTTCAAAGGATCCCCACTTGCTAAAATAAGAAATTGGAAACAAATGTAACCAACTCAAATTGATGTTCCCACATTATTTGAATTTTTTTCCTTTTTATATTGATCCTTTCTTCTAAATATTTTTGTCAATACAGCCTTTTTATTATTCTACTCTCCTACAATGGCCAATATTTTCCAAGATATTTAAGCATGAAATAAATATAAGATTGAAATGAGACCTTTTTACTGATTATCATCTTAGGCATATATTTTTGTAATGGCAATTCAAATTCAAATGTATGCTAATGTTCTTGAAAATATATCATATCCTCAAAAAAATCAAAATAGAGAATTATAAAGAACAAAAGCTAAAATGGCTCCTAGTCCTACTACCTAGAAAGCCCAACATTAGAGAAAGATATACAGTGAAAAATGAAGTCATCCCTCCTCACCTTCCCTAGTGCCACTCCCCATAGAAGACTAACAAGACTGTTTTCAGAATATCTTCTGGATACAGGGTTGCTTATCTACCGAGATATATGCATATAACACGCACGCACACGTATGCACACACACGTGCACATTTTATTTACCCAAAAGGAATGATAAAACACTCTTCTGTACCTTGCATTTTACATTATCTTGGAAAAGTTTTTATATTAGGAAATACAGATCTAACTTATTCTAGTCCTGGCTGGAACATAATTAATGTAACCAATTCAATATTCACAAGATATTTGGTTGTTTTGCATTTTTATTTTGTTTTGTTTAACTATCATAAGCAATGCTGCAAAATAATTTAACAAACATCTTTGCAAACTCTAGAAAAAAATCCGGAACAGTTATATTGTTAAAAAAAAAAAAAAAAAAAAGATGGGTAGAAATAATGATAATAGTATTATTTCTGAAGCAGGATCCCTCTGAGTATAGATAGCACTACTATAAATATATTGATCAAAACTTACGTAACTTAAGGAACATTTAAGTAACAAATGGAAAAGAGTCAGATCTCTTTAAAATGCAAATGCAGACCACCTTAATTTAGAAACTGGCCCCATTTAGGATCTCACACAAAGATCTTCTGGAAGGCATAGGAAATAATTCATGCACACACAGCCAGGCTTTCTGTTTCAAATCCTAGTCAGTTTTCCCATTTTCCATGTCAGGCTGACAAATCATTGTTTCCTCTCATATATAACCTTGACAAATACATCTATTCAAGTCTCCCTATGACATATTTTCCTTTTAAGGATTTGGAAAAAATCGTTAAGGCATAAAGGAGAGAAAGACATGGTTTTAGTAAAAAGAACAAAACATTTCTACTTCAGAAAATGTCTACCTCAAGTTTTTAAGAAATAGACTCAATATTCTATAATTAACATCAACTGTCCAGTGGGAATAAATGGGAAGGATGTGCATAGTGTTCTGAGACCCCTACCCTCACCACTCATCCCCCAGTTACCACCTGAAGAAACTACTCTGGTTGGAATCCTACCTCAGAGCCCCAGAAATGAGTGAGAAGAGAGAAAGTCTCCAGTTTCATTCTAGTCTGAGTGGTCCTATGAGGGTTTCTCTGATCTCATCATCACTTTGTTTGCATATCTTCATTGACAATCTTAAGCAAAGAAGTCAAGATCAACCAGTGCCTTTAGGTTCAGACTACTAAAACCTCTGGGTCAGCCATCTTAAAGGTGGAAATAGATTTGACCAACCCCATTCAGACCCAAACCATCTGAGTTGGTTTGCAGCTAAAGTAGGATATCAAGAATGAATAATACAGGCATCCAGTAATGAATACTGAAGGAGCTCAATACCCTATTATTACACTTTAGCCACACCAAGGTGATTAATCCACCAAATGGATTATAAATCCATTCATCCAACCAACAAGTACGACTGTCTACTATGTTAACATGCTAGTCACTATAACAGCAATATTGGGAACACTTCTACTATCAGTTCTAAAGTAGTACTTTTGTACTTATTTCAAAACTTGACAATAAGTCAATTCTTTGCAGAAAGTCCATGAAGAAATATGTTTTGAAAGGAATTTATGTTAGTCTTAGAAACACACATTGGACCATAAGCCCATAACAAGAAGTTCTTTTTATTTGGTGCTTTTGTAACTAAAAGTAAAATTTACTTTAACCTAAGCTATAAGTTACTTAAATAAAAGAAATATTAAGCTTCAAGAACAAAAGCAAACTAAAATATTTGGCTTTACAAACATCGTCCAACAGATCCACCAACATAAATTTTTATGAAGTCTCTTCGGATGGGAATGTTCCTTCTATTGTGCACAGTTTTGAAGATATTGGTCCAAAATTCATCTTCTCCCTGAAGGTTGGTAAGCCTGTCCTAAGGATGATAAATCCAGGAGAAAGTGGGAAGAAAAAAATGAGTCTGGAAATAAAAGAAGAAAGTAAAAAGAAATTGAAATACACCGTGGTTCTCAAACTTGGGTGTGCATTGAAATCACCTGGAGGAATTGTGAAGCCACATATGCTGGGCTTTATCTCCATGGTTTCTGATTCAGTAGGTGTGGGGTGAGCCTACACATTTGCATTTCTAACAAGCTCCCAGGTGATGCCTATGTGCTGGTCCAGGTACCATGCTTTGAGAACCAATAGGCTAGATCATAGATAAGTAAACAACTAGGCTTTATGCATAGTTATGTGTCTTGGGTAAAGGACAATTGATATATTTTGAAGGCAAATGTTCAACATTAACCAACAGAGCATTACTATAAAAGCTGTGGGTAAAAGTCTTTGGAATATAATTATCCTTAGAGACCACTTTTGTTTGCATTTACCATTTGTATAGATTTGTACAGTAATACCAGGTAGTACCTAAAAATATTTTTGAACCAAATTCTATTTGCTATTAGTAAGCAATTATTAATCTAATTATTACTACCAGTTATATCGAGATAAAATTTGTGAATGAATTACTATTTTAGAATGTAATAAAATTAAACTTTGGAAAGTAAGAAGAATTTATTGACTATTGTAAGTCAATACCATTTTATTTCTGTTCATTTCTTACTAGCTTGTTACATGGTTGTAACCCTGCAATTTTGTAATTCAAAAAATGATTAGAAGAATTTTTGTGGTCCAGATACTATAATAGAATTTATAAAATGTGAATGGTATTTGGCAACCACATTCTCTAATGGGGTATCTATTCAATTCATGGTAATAAAATAACATTCATAGAAAGTGTACTGAGTACCAGCCATTGTTCAAGTGCTTTACATATGTTATCCATTTAATTCCCAGATTAGTTATGAGCTTGATCTTGTTACTCCCAGGGATGTTATTTAAAATGTTTAAATTACCAGTAGGGTAATAGCCCTGGCCAATTAGAACAGAAACCCCCACCAGTGAGAACAGATATTGTGCCAGTGCCCTGTGCCAGCACATACCTACTGAATTTCTGATCATCTTTTCAAATAAGAAAACAAGCATAGAGAGATCAAGTTCCTTGCCCAACCCACACTGCTTATCAGCTGCAGAGTGGGACACAACACCCTGGCAGGCCAACTCCACAGGTGGCATTTTTAACCATTTATACTGCGTCTCTCAAGGCACAAATTATTTACCTATTCACATTGTAGATGTTGAGTTTTTTCCATTGAGCCATTTATGCCTAGTGTTCCATTATTGGAACACTAAGCATGTGGGAGTTACTTATAGCCTATGCTTACGGTCATCACCAAGGTATGATTGCAATTTTTTTGAAATTGCATATCAGGCATAATTCAGGCATAAATGGGTTTTAAGAGGTGAGACACAGAGACCTGAAGTGTGACTATAAAGTGATGGTTCGCTTTCATTTGCACTCAATCTTACCACTTTATAGTTACTCTTCATCAACACAGGGGTTACTGGTGAATTTCCTTGCATCATGTGCATCCTGTAGCAGTACTGCCATGTTTTATTCTCTACGTAGGTAACAACAGGAAGTGTTCCAGTAAGCATGGCATCTGTAATCATCCACATCCCTCAATATACCAAAGAAAAGAACCCACTGATGTACCTAACTGGGGTGCAAACAGACAAGGTAAAGATTACAAAATTGCCTATAAGAATGTACACTTTAAAGATGTAAATAACCCATGAGATTAGGGTGATTGTGTCTGACATTTTACAGGGGGGAAACAGACGATAACTCCTATGCAGCCCAGTGCTAATTGACTAGCAGTTAATTTCATCTTCGAAGAAAATATTGTTACAAGAAAACAAATGTCTGAGTCTAGGGAATTGCAGGTGGGAGAAATTATTCCAAAAACCCCATTTTGGCCAGGTGAAGATCTGACTTTGACAGGCCCTGTGAGGACTGGGAAGTGAGAGGTGGGACCTACATGGGGAGCATAGCAGGTCTTCACAGCTGCAATAAGGAACTGGTCTTCAAGCAGCCAGCCTGGACTTTCTCCTGGTAATACTGAGCCCTGGCTGTTCATTTTAATCCCTCCATTTGCTTTTATAAATAAGAGTGTCCAGACCTAATCCAGGCAATTAAATCAGAATTTCTAGGGCTAAGACTCTTACACCAGGGTTTTTCTTTAAACATTCTCTGTGGCTCTAGCACACAGCCTGGGCTGAGAAGTACTGCTCTAGCCAAACCCCTTGACATTGGCTCATCTTCAGTCCAGCACTTAGCTGATCAACAGTTGTATTACTCCTGTAGTGTGCTACAGGAAAATCAAAATTCTAAAATGTTCCAGAGAGGATTACCCTGAATTATTCAGTGTTTAGCTATTGCAAATTTGCCTTATTATATGTGGGCTATAAGAAGCTAGCCCACCTCGTCAGTTCACATCAGGAACATTTAAATACTTCATGTTCACCTGGCAATTATATGAAATGTGGCGAGGTCAGCACTGTTGAAAGAAGCCTAACAGACCTTCCCAGGCCTCTACAAGTGACAGTAAGATTTCCTAACATGTTGAAAGGAACATCATAAACTGTTTTGCTTCCGAAGTCTGATCGGTGTTCTTCTTTTATAGGCTGGTGACATCAGGTGTAACGCAGATATCAATCCACTGAAAATAGGACAAACATCTTCTTCTGTATCTTTCAAAAGTGAAAATTTCAGGCACACGAAAGAATTGGTGAGGACAAGTTAATGTGTGAAAGCTCCCCTCGGTCATACATTTACTTCACCTGTGATCAGGGCACTGCTTTTCTCCTACCAGCTGATACCATAGAGCTTTCTTAGTTTGCCTTTGATGGCTTATATAAGTTAAGATTTAGAAAATATTAGGTTGGTGCAAAAGTAAATATGGTTTTGAAACCCATAATTACTTTTGCACCAACCTAATGTATGTTCAAATCTAGGTTACTGGAATTATCTGATGTCATTTCTTATAAAACACAAGTTCCAGACTTCACATGAAAAACTCATGTGAAGCTATTGTGTTTATGCATTGTGCACTTTGGAAACAAGGCAAAGAGGAGGAAAAGTGAAGGAGCTGGGTGTGTGCTTCAGAGGAGAAGCCCCTTGAATCCCCCTTCCACATAATACTGATTTTTTTTTTATGCTTTAAGTTCTGGGGTACATATGTAGATCTTGCAGGATTGTTACATAAGTATACACATGCCATGGTGGTTTGCTGCCTCCATCTCTTTGTCACCTACATTAGGTATTTCTCTAATATTATCCCTCCCCAACCTCCCTACCCCCTGCTATCACTCCCCTAGCCTCCCAACCCCCAACAGACCCTAGTGTGTGATGTTCCCCTCCCTGTGTCCATGTGTTCTTATTGTTCAATACCCACTTATGAGTGAGAACATGCGGTGCTTGGTTTTCTGCTCTTGTGTCAGTTTGCTGAGAATGATGGTTTCCAGATTAATCCATGTCCCTGCAAAGGACATGAACTCATCCTTTTTTATGGCTGCATAGTATTCCATGATGTATATGTGCCACATTTTCTTTATCCAGTCTATCCTTGATGGGCATTTGGGTTGGTTCCAAGGCATAGGTAAGGACTTCATGACTAAAACACCAAAAGCAATGGCAACAAAAGCCAAAATAGACAAATGGGATCTAATTAAACTTAAAAGTTTCTGTACAGCAAAAGAAACAATCATTAGAGTGAACCAGCAACCAACAGAATGGGAAACAATTTTGCAATCTATTCAATTTGACAATGGGCTAGTATCCAGAATCTACAAAGAACTAAAGCAAATTTACAAGAAAAAAACAACCCCATCAAAAATTGGGGAAAGGATATAAACAGGCACTTTTCAAAAGAAGACATATATGTGGCCAACAAACATATGAAAAATGCTCATCATCACTGGTCATTAGAGAAATGCAAATCAAAACCACATTGAGATACCATCTCATGCCAGTTTGAATGGTGATCATTTAAAAAATATGGAGACAATAGATGCTGGAGAGGATGTGAAGAAATAGGAACGCTTTTATACTGTTGGGAGTGTAAATTAGAGCAACCATTGTGGAAGACAGTGTGGCGATTCCTCAAGGATCTGGAAATAGAAATACCATTTGACCCAGCAATCCCATTACTGAGTATATACCCAAAGGATTATAAATCATTTTATTACAAAGGCACATGCACATGTATGTTCATTGCAGCACTGTTTACAAATAGTGATGTGTTTTATTTAGCTGTGAAATATGCTGCTGCTCTTCTCTGTTTTTCAATATTTTGTCATTTCCTGCTCTCGAGCTATGCCTGCTTCTTTGGGAAAGAGACTAGTCTAGCATCTGGCATGGTACTTGGCACATATTAAATATTCAAATAAGTAAACTTTTAGTAAGCAATAACTCCTAAACAAACCACAGCTGTCTGCCATGAACAATATTAAAATTCTCCTGGTTTTCTTGATTTCAATTGTTTTATTCTGTGAAGGATGGTATAAACAGGAATCCAGAAGAATAAAATTATGTTTCTTTTAATGTGTATTAATATACAAGTAGATAAATACATGCTGTAGCAGAAGTGGACCATGCTATCTTTTGGCCTTGAACATAGGCCAATACATCATAGATTTTTAATTGTACACTTTCATTTTTTAATACTTTTTTAAGTTCACGGAAGAATTGAGTGGAAAGTACAGAAGTTTCCCATATGCCCCCTGTCCGACACAGCCTCCCCCACTGTCAAAATACTGCACAAGAATGGTATATTTGTTACAATCGATGAAACTACATTAATATATCATCAACCCAAATCCATAGCTTACATTAGGGTTCACTCTTGGCGTTGTTAAAATCCATGCTGTGGATTTTGACAAATGTAAAAATGACATGTATCTACAATTAAATTACAGTATCATACAGGGTCTATTCACTGCCCTACACATCATCTGCGCTCCGCTTATGCATTCTTCCCCCCCTACCAGCCCCTGGAACTGCTGATCCTATTTCTGTCAACTTTTTTTAAAATCGAAGGAGTCTTTCATTAGGTTTGATGACTGAATTGTAGTACGTTTTGTGTATGTTCAACAATTTATTTAACTAGTTCATTGTTGACAAACAAGTTACAGTTTGGGGGGTTGGGGTTTTTAGGTTTTTTTTACTCTTTTAAATAGTAATGTAATAAACAGGCTTGGGGTACTTCGTTCTGCACATTGCTGATTATCTCCTGAGGCTGTCTATACAGACAGGAAATGGATGGGGCAAAGGGTGCGCACTTTGTACATTTTGAGATGTAGTCCCAAAATCCCTTGAAGGAAGATAGGAGGGTTATAACTACTAGTAGCTCATGAGATTGCCTGTTTCCCTAGATGCATCCCAGCACTGGGTTTTATCTATCTTTAAAATGTTAGCATTTATTTTGAACTCCTACTAACTCACTCTCTCTTTTACCTTTGACTCCATGCTACAAGAACTGCAGAACTGTTCCCTGTAGTAATGTTACCTGCTGGTTCAAAGACCTTCACGTGAAAGGAGAATACTTTGTTAATGTGACTACCAGAATTTGGAATGGGACTTTTGCATCAGTAAGTATCAGTACTATTTGTTGGATTTATCAATAGCAAGGAAACATAAGGCTGCACTGACAAGTTCTTCCCCTTTGACAAAAAGTATTCTGGCTAATGTCTGCAGTACCCAGATAACCCAGAGCAGTTTTACCCTGTAAGGCAGCACACTTCTATCCTTTTCCAACGTTCATCCAATTCGGCAGTGCCTCAGAGTCACCTGGGGTACTTGTGAAAGGATCAGCTTCTCAGACTCCTTGTGACCTACCACATCAATGGGAATGGTGTCAAGGTCATCTCTGCAGCCCTGGGCTACAAGGGGCGGCCCGCTTTGTTTCCCTCTAGAAGCTCCCCTGATATCCATCTTCCCAGTCTCCTCCGCCACGCCCAAATCAAAATGCCTATGTCTCTGTCTTACTCCTTGAGCTCTCAGTTAATTGTATGATTGATCTCAAACCACCCAGTAGATGAATCTAGCATAAGAATATGTCTTCCTGTATTACAGCCAGGTCATCACCCTGCTCTCCTGTTTTGCCCTTTCCCTGATGGAAAAGCACAGTGGGCACATGACTTTCTAAGTCATCTCAATCCCCAAGTAAAGTATGAAGAAAAAGCCAAAACAATGTCAGTGTTTTTTTTTTTTTTTTTTTTTTTCCGTATGGCAACAGTGAGTCTGCTCTAGCGATATTTGCTTTCAGCAGGGATTTTGGTAGCCAGAATTTCAGTCTGGCATGAAACAGTGTAAGAATAGACAGGCCTGTCCTTAAATTTGACAGCTTGTGTGGCTAGCATCCCTTTTCCTGACATGGGCTCCAATTGAGGAAGAAAACAGAAATTAGTCTGAAACCTCCTGGGGACCCTTGTGGCACTCACTAGATTTTTTTTTTCTTTTTAACAAATAAATCAGTTCCCAAGGTGCTTACCAGCAAACGCTACTCATTTTTTTTTCTTTGAACCATTTCACGATCTCTCCAATAAACCTCACTTTCTGCTATAGAGTTTTGTAAAACTGGAGAACTGAGCACCCTCCAAACTCATCCCTGGAGTCAAATATAAGCAATATTCTTGGATAAAGATATAGAAGAAAAAGGAATAGTAAAAGGTTATAAAAAAATGCAGAACTGGGGGAATGGGGAAGTGAGAAGTTGAATATTTCTTTTGGCTTGCTTGCCTTCACTTCGCTTTCTTGTGAGTTGCATTTGCTCTCAAGCCTGCAGGACAATTCTACATCCTTAAAGATGTGAAGTGTGCTGTCAGTTGTACCAACTTCCCAGCTGCTGCAGTGTGGTGCTCAGTTTTGCTCCATTGATTTTTGGCTCCTTGGATTTGAGGAGCAAATGTTTTCATAGCAAATTTTGCCAACTGGAAGGAACACTGACTGTTGCAAGTCAAAATGCACTCACGCCAGCTCTGTAAAACACATTTGTTTTTTCTTGAGTTGGTTTAAGGCTACATCATTTTAACTGTGAGACTTTTTAAAGTACCTTCCCAACAATCTTCAGAAGCAGTAGTTTATTTCTGGGAGCAAACTTCTTAGAAAGTATACTATTTGTGCTGCTTTAATGTGGCTATGGTGGTTAAGCTGAGAAAACACCCTTGAAATGTCAAGGTATGCCAAATCCTTCACATCTCCTCCTTCGTGAAAGGTCAAGTGTTTATCCCCACCTTGTTTCCAGCTATTAAGGCAGCAAAATGGATGTCTCTCAGACCACCTAGGAATCTAGTCTGAAATATGGATCTCATTTCCTGTATTAAAACCCACTGATGCACTGCCTTCTGTTGCTACCCTTTCGATGATGTAGTGCAAGTAATTTCATTACAAAGTGATTGCTCTGGGAGGGACGGTGGGGGGTGGGGAGCTGGGGAGAGATAGCAAGGGGAGAAATGCCAGATGTAGGTGATGGGGAGGAAGGCAGCAAATCACACTGCCACGTGTGTACCTATGCAACAATTTTGCATGTTCTTCACATGTACCCCAAAACCTAAAATGCAATAAAATAAATGGGGAAACAAACAAACAAACAAAAGTGATTGCTCAGACCTCCAAATTGATAACAGAGTTGTTGCCATTTGTAAGGAGAACTCTTGATGAGTGCTAGCAGGCGTGTTACTTCACTCTCCAGATGTAAGTGGCATGCCTACCTCTACCTTCAACCCTGCAGGATACTGTGTGCCTGTGAGAAGGACCTATTTTGAGAATACTGTAAGAAAAATTATTTCATCTTTAGTCTTTGGGGATTATGAAACCAGCATTTACTTAACTGCTACTTTTTTTCTTAAACCAATATGAATACTCTTAATGTTTCCCCCAATAATATGTTTAAGAGACTGGTGAGCATGATTAATTTCTGATCCAATCATCTATCTTGAGAAAATTAACAGTAACCAGAGTCAGAGCCAGTAGAAAGGAAATAAATGGCTCAATTTTTGGAAATACATTATTTCTGGCTCCCAGATATTGTTTAGCAAATTACCTCATAGAGTATGTCCAATAATGTGCCCTGGTAACCAGAAAAACTAAGTCATAGCATGTGAAAGCAGCTCTAACATCTGAGCACTGCATTCTACTTCACAGTGGCATCAGGCCTAATACAGAGAAAATAGTGACATATACACATCAATAATATTTCTATTGAAAAATGCTTTCTTTTTTTTTGAGATTGAGTCTCGCTCGGTTGCCCAGGCTGGAGTGCAGTGGCGCAGTCTCAGCTCCTGCAACCTCCCCCTCCCAGGTTCAAGTGATTCTCCTGCCTCAGTCTCCAGAGTTGCTGGGATTACAGACACCCACCACCACCCCCAGCTAATTTTTTTGTATTTTTTAATAGTGATGGGGTTTCACCATGTTGACCAGACCGGCCTTTGAACTCCTGACCTCAGATGATCTAACTACCCATTTCAGCTTCCCAAAGTGCTGAGATTACAGATGTGAGCCACTGTGCCCAGCTGAAAAGTAACTAGATGGAGGAATGGATGTAACGTTATTTTGAATTAGGAGGTTACTAGTAATGACAGCATAAAATATCCTTCCTATCTATATGCCTGCCCCAAATTAAGTATTATTTGATAGAAACACTCAGATTAGGAAATCTGATATTATTACTGATGTGATAGAATATGCCAAAACGTTCAGGGCCTTAGGTGGTCAAGTTCAAGTGCACTTTCAAACAGTATTATTTTACACATATGTACCCATAAGGAAAATTCTCTTCTCTTTTAAATGTTGGTTTATTTAGGTAAGTATACAAAAATGTCAAGTTTACAATTTTCTCTCATGTCACAAACTTTATTTTTTAAAAATCTGAACTATGATCTCCCCCAGTTAAAAATAATCATTTTTGAATCCTTGTTTTTCAACCCTGTTCTCAAGTTCAGATCTGCTCAGGGATATATTTTAACTTGCGCATGTGCAGATTCCACCCCAGAGACTTGATTTGTGGTGGCAAGGTGCAGGCATCTGCATGTCTTAAAATTTCCTTGGGTATTTCTGACGGGCAGCCCTGTTGCATAACACTGGTTTAAGCACAGTAGATTCTGGGTAGGTCTTCAGAACTGGCATTTGCTTGTCATGTTCCATCAGAAAATTAATAATAAATCATAAGCATGTCAGCTTTTCTGCATTTGCTGCTGCTAGAGTAAAACGTATTCCTTATTCTTGTGTTCCAGTCAACTTTCCAGACAGTTCAGCTAACGGCAGCTGCAGAAATCCACACCTATGACCCTGAGATATACGTGATCGAAGATAACACTGTTACGGTAAGCATATCACACCCTTCCCTGCAAGCCTCAGGGTTAGTGGTGGGCATTCCATTTCTAAAAACCTGGAATAGTCACTCTTCTCACCTACATCTATGTAGAAGAATCTTAATCTTTAAAGTGATGTTTATTGTGTTGAGCTTTTGGTGAGAGTGTGTGCTACTCAAAAAGGTCATTGATGTATTTGCCCTCCTCAATGCCCCCACCCGTGTTGGCAAAGCTGGCTTTCCTAGAAGTGGTGATCCAGTGAGAAGCACAACAAAAGGGCTCTATGTGGCTTGGGACTCCATGGTGTCTCTTCTCCATGACTAAGCCAGCAGCACCGGTTCTTCCTTTCTCCTCCTGCTTCCACAAAATGGTCTAGAGCATAGGCCACAAAACCTAAGTATGCTTATTTAAATCATAAATTGTATTTTGAATAATTTTTAAAGAAAGGTGCTGAAGCATGCTTAATAGATAGTGCATTTATTAGAGGGTGTTTAAAAATATTTCTCCTTACAACTAGACACTGACACTGTGTGACATGTCCATTCATTCGATTTTACATTCTGGAGGACTGTAAATGCTCCCCTTGATAAAAAAGCTTTTACAGAGAAATGTACTCTCACAGAAAACAAAGGTTCTCTGTTCTAAGAGCTGGCATGAGATAATTTTCCTTTGCACTGAATCTCTGGTTAGAATATGCCATATTTAGATACAGTGGGATTTCCATGCTCAGTTAATCTGCTGGCAGGGCCCTGAGCATTTTCCTCCCAAGGCTTGTGTTAGGAGTTGAAAGCCAGTTTAAGAATCTGCCCCCAAAACCAGCTTGGCAGTTGGCCTCATTCCACTGCTCCGACCTACAGACTTGGTCAAAAAGCTATGGCCCCATGAACTCTGGGCCTCCTCACTCCATGCCTGAGAGTGAAGCTCACAGCACTGGGGCCCCACTCTTGTCCAAGGCAAAATTATTCCACACAACAGAGCACACTTCTCTGCCTCTGGTTTAGGAGCCTCAGTGAAAGCTCACACCCTCTCTTCAAAGACTGAAGCCTGGAAAATCAGAAATAGAGCCAAAGGAAATGCAGACTTCAAAATCAAAATGCTATGAACTTAACATAGGGGAGAAGTAGTATAGATTTTTTTAAAAGCTCACTTTAGAAAAACCTAGTGTTCAGACAGTATGGGAAACTCTACTGAAAACTGTTTTTTAGAAAGCAATATTAAATATATTAATTGGAAATTCAAATGAACAATTTTAGTAAACCCATTAGATTCTTCTTTTCTTGTCTTTCTCTAAGCAATACTAATACATAACAGAAGTCAATTACTAGGTGCAAAAGTAATTGCGGTCTTTGCCATTAAAAGTAAAGAAAGGCCGGGCGAGGTGGCTCACGCCTATAATCCCAGCACTTTGGGAGGCCAAGGCAGGTAGATCACCTGAGGTTGTGAGTTTGAGACCAGCCTGGCCAACATAGTGAAACCCCCTCTCTAATAAAAACAAAAATTAGCTGGGTGCGGTGGCACATGCCTGTAATCCCAGATACTAGGGAGGCTGAGGAGAATCACTGAACCCGGAAGGAAGAGGTTGCAGGGAGCCAAGATCACGCCACTTCATTTCAGCCTGGGCAACAGAGTGAGACTCTGTCTCAAAAACAAACAAACAAAAAAGTAAAGAAAAATTACTTTTAATGGCAAAGACTGCAATTACTTTTGCACCAGCCTGATATTATTCAATTGTGTCTATGAAAATTTTTTAAATCTAAATAATTTGGATAAATTTTTGAATAAGGTGTTGAATCTAAAGAATGACTCGACATATATTGTTTGTTACATTTATTTGAATCCCCAGCCCACTTAAAAATCTGACCCACAAAATGCTATAGTCCCGGGTCTGTAGGGATCCGTGGTTCCCTGGGTTTGAAAGCTGTGGAAAAGAGAGCAGTAGGCTCATAACTGCCACTAAGCAGTGACCTACATGAATTTACCATCACTTTACTCATAAATTTATAAAGCCTTATATTTTAGCTCTTAAAGATACAAATGAAAGGAAATACAGTCACCAAGGCCAGCTGCAAGTTTAGCCCAGCCCATAAATTATGTAACAAAAAGCAGCTCATCTGCCACTGCAATTTAATGTTAAATCAAGTAAATGAAATGCATATTATCCCCCTTTTTTTGCTTCTAAATATAGCTCTTTATGAATATTTTCTAAAGAGAATGGTTGAGATTCTTTCCCTATTAAAGAAAACTAGGCCAAGCATGGTGGCTCATGCCTGTTATCTCAGCACTTTGGGAGGCCGAGACAGGCAGATCACCTGAGGTTGGGAATTTGAGACCAGCCTGACCAACATGGAGAAACCCCATCTCTACTAAAAATACAAAATTAGCTGGGCATGGTGGTGCATGCCTGTAATCCTAGCTACTCAGGAGGATGAGGCAGAAGAATCGGTTGAACGCAAGAGGTGGAGGTTGCAATGAGCTGAGATCGCACCATTGCACTCCAGCCCGGCAACAGTGCAAGATTCTGTCTCAAAAATAAAAACACAAATAAAGAACAAGACTGTACAGTTTTACTGTTAAAACTCAGGGTAGCCATTCTATTACAGCATCTCAAAGACTGCCAGGAAGCAGACATAAAGAATCCTAAGCAGCCTCACGGACAGCTTTCCCACTGGAAAGGTCAACTTGACACTTGAGATATTATTTCTACTTTTCCAACAATAGATATCAGCTTGGAATGCGGTTTAAGTAAAAGTAGTGTTTTAAACACCCAATATGAAGCTGTTGTTTAGTCACCATGAAATTGAGTTAATGAGTTTCAATTCCCCTCCCCAAAGTGGTTTGCTTTCACTTGATGATACTTTCACTTGATTTGAATGTATGCCAGAAATAAAAGATTCTATTTCATAAGTGAAATAAGCATCTGACATTGTCAGACATGATGTAGCCACAAAACACTGATGCAGTTAAAGGTGGGAAACTAGACAAGTTGTATATTTTAGCTGGATGGACTTTGCAGGAGCATTTTCTCTAAAACTGTTCTGACGATATTTGAGGTATGCCATCATGAGCAAGTCATGTCGCCTTTCTAGAGATGTAGACCTTCACTTACAGAATTAGAGAACTGGACCAGGCCATCTCCCCTCTTTTTTGTGGTATTAGCATAACTCAGTTGTGAACTTACATTTCCAGATTCCCCTGATGATAATGAAACCTGATGAGAAAGCTGAAGTACCAACAGGAGTTATAGTAGGAAGTATAATTGCTGGAATCCTTTTGCTGTTAGCTCTGGTTGCAATTTTATGGAAGGTAAGAGAGGCATCAGATTTTAAAGTACAGGGCTCCTGAAGGCCAGCCTTGAATTGCTTACAAAACATTAACCTCAGGTTTTATATGCTACCTTCTCTATCACAAGGAGAAAAGAAATGCAAGTTTGTTTACAATGTCTTATTCATGTCTTTAAAAAAAAAGTAAGGATTTTATCTTCTTTTACACCTTCCTTTCATCAAGAACCCTGAATATTTTGCTCAGCTTCAAATAAGTAGATGCTGAAAAATGTAGCTTTATGCATGCAGCTGAGCTCTCTGGACATAAATTTCTTCTGGCGGGTGATAGATACCAGGTCATCAGTCTGCACAGCCCTCTTCAGAGCCTCAGGGATTCCCAGAGGTGCCTCAGAGGATGTGGGCAGTAAAAGCAGTCAGAGGCACCTTACAAAACAAGCCACGGGTGTTAACATTCTTATATCGTCACCTTTACAGCTCGGCTTCTTCAAAAGAAAATATGAAAAGATGACCAAAAATCCAGATGAGATTGATGAGACCACAGAACTCAATAGCTGAACCAGCAGACCTACTTGCAGTGGGAACTGGCAGCATTCCAGCCAGGGTTTGCTATTTGTGTCAATGGATTTCTTTTTAAATCCTATTTTTTAAAATAATGTTAATAGGTAAACTAGCCTGGTATTTTCAGAGAAAACTGCAGGTCAGTTTACAATGAAGAAATTGTGGAGGGGGGAGGGGGAGGTAGGGATATAAAGGGTAAAAGACTTATTTTATATGATGGGGGAAAAAGGTAATCTTGAAACTGGCTGGTCCAGAGTTTACATTCTAAAGTGCATTGTATCAGCAACATGAAATGCTTCCAAGCATGACAACTTTAAAAAAAAAATATGATACTCTCAGATTTTAAGGGGGAAAGTGTTCTCTTTAAAATGCTTGTCTTTAAACAGCAACAACGAAAGTGGAAGTGCCTGATATAATATATGGAAGTACTTCCACTTGTGTATATAATTTTAATGAATATTGATGTTAATAAGAGGGGAAATAAAACAACACAGGTTGTTTTTCAATTTATGCTGCTCATCCAAAGTTGCCACAGAGGATACTTCTAAGTGATAATTTTATTTATAAACTAGGTAAAATTTGTTGGTTCCTTTTAGACCACAGATGCCTCTTCCACATCCTATCTTGCTCTAATGGTCAAAACATGCTTGAATAACGGAGCTTAGAGTGTATCTCCTACTGGGAAAATGTCCATTTAAGTTAGGAGAGGGGGCAACATAGAGACTGAGGCACAAAATTTTGCTTAAAATCCAGAATATAAGATTTATGCAAAATTCCATCTGCTAGAGGACCATCCTGTGCCAGAGAAAGGAAAAGAAGGAAATTTCCTTTCTCTTATAGGAGCACAATGGTGCTCTTTTAGGACCCGATTAGCTGATTGGCAGGATTGAAAGATGAGTAATTTCTTTGGCAACCTTCCCCCTCCCTTACTGAACCACCCTCCCACTCCTGGTGGTCCCGTGTTATAGAAGTCCTCTACAGCCTGCCTTTCTCTCCAGTGGTCCAAAGTTATCACCACCTTTACCCCTCATCCAAAGTGCCCACTCCTTCAGGATAGCTGCTGTGCATTAGATATTAGGGGGGAAAGTCCTCTGTGTAATTTACATACCTGCGTGAATTACTGTATATAAACTCCTTAACTTCAGGGAACTATTTTCATTTAGTGCCAAACAAGTAAGAAAAATAAGCTTGGGTGAATTTCTAAATGTCGGAATGACAAGGGGTGTAAACAATGTAAAGTAAAACATCTCAGGATTTCAGAAGTGACAGATGAGGCATTGAAAGTCACCAAATTAGCAGGTGTAACCTCTGTGCCTGTCTTGTTTCTGAAGTACTTAAACTTCCATAAGAGCGGATCACAAGGTCAGGAGTTCGAGCCTGGGCAACATGGTGGAACCCCATCTCTACTAAAATACAAAAAATTAGCTGAGCGTTGTGATGGGTGCCTGTGATCCCAGCTACTCAGGAGGCTGAGGCAGGAGAATCACTTGAACCTGGGAGCAGAGGTTGCAGTGAGCCAAGATTGCACCATTGCACTACAGCCTGGGAGACAGAGTGATTCTCTATCTCCAAACCAAAAAAAAAAAAAAAAAAAAAAAAAGAGAGAATGATGAATTTGACCTAGGCAAATTTGTTCAAAAGGTAGAGCCTGAGATGATTTGGTCAGATTGAGATAAGGCCCAGCAATCTGCATTTCAACAGGCACCCCAGTCATTGGAATGCAGATGGACCACACTTTGAGAAACACCACCCATTTCTACTTTTTGCACCTTCTTTTCTGTGTTCCTGAGGCCCTACATTCTCTAGGAGAAACTTAAGAGGAAAAGGGCAGAAACACCACATATCTAAAGCTTTGGACAAGTCCTCAACCTCTATAAACCTCAGATTCCTCATTAGAAAATGGGAAAACTGAGTTGGAGTTCAGCAGTGATGCTTTTGGTTTTAAAAGTCTATGGTCTGGATTTCCTATAATACGAAGAGAGAAGCCTCCAAGAATTTGACTTGGAAAAAATGTCAGAGGAAAACAGGCTATCTATCTGCCCATGTGCATATGGATGACCTTAACTGCCCTGGCCTAGCCCCTGTGATGGCAGTTCAGGGCTATCTGTACTGTTTACAGAATTGCTTTGTAGTTGACAACACAAAACAAACAAGAAAAAAAAGGCATAAAATGCTAGGGATTTATTGAAAAAACAGCATGGTATTCTCCAGTTAGGTATGCCAGAGTCCAATTTTTTTAACAGCTGTGTGAATTCATGGCTTCATTCCAACCAAAATTTTATTAAAAAAAAAAAGAAAGAAAGAAAATACTAGAGAAACTAGTCATTAGCTTGATAATATTTAACAGCTAGTGGTACTTGTACGCACCTGCAGCTCCAGCTACTTGGGAGACTGAGGCAGGAGGATTGCTTGAGCCCAGGAGTTCAAGTCCAGCCTAGGCAACATAGCAAGACCCTATCTCAAAAAAAATGACTATTTAAAAAACAATGTGGCCAGGTGCATTGGCTCACAACTGTAATCCCAGCACTTTGGGAAGCCGAGGCAGGTGGATTATGAGGTCAGGAGTTCAAGACCAGCCTGGCCAACATGGTGAAACCTCGTCTCTACTAAAAATACAAAAATAAGCTGGGCGTGGTGGCGGGCACCTGTAATCCCAGCTACTTAGGAGGCTGAGGCAGGAGAATCATTTGAACCTGGGAGGCAGAGGTTGCAGTGAGCTGAGATTGCACCATTGCACTCCAGGCTGAGCAGCAGGGTGAGACTCCATCTCACAAAAAAAAAAAAAAAAAAAAATAGTAAGTACTGTATATATAAATACTAGCTTTTCAATGTGCTATACAAATAATTATAGCATACCCTTTTGTTTTTCTGTCTCACCTTGTTTAGGTGAGTACTTCCTTAGATAAGTACTAAATATACATATACAGAACTTGAAAGCTTCGGTTACCCCTGCCTTAGGTAATCTGTTACCTAGATGACACTGTTTCCAGGGAGTAGTTGAATTACTAAAAACCATTAGCCACTTGTCTCTGCACTATTTAGCACACCAGGGCAGGGTCTCTGAGGCTGGGCACTGCTGTCATTTGGGGCCAGGTGATTCTTCCTCGCAGGGCTGTCCTGTACCTTGTAGGACAGCAGCCCTGCCTATAAGGTCTGGGGTTTAGCATGTTCAGCAGCATCCCTGAACTCTACCTACTACATGCCAGAGCATCCTTCCCCTGCAGTCATGACAGTCAAAAAATGTCTCCAGACATTGTCAGATGCCTTCTGGGGGGCAGTATTTCTCAAGCACTTTTAATCAAAGGTGAGTATATATACAAGAAATGTAGGTGGGGGGGAAACATTTTTTAAATAAGAGTTATGTGTTCCTATTCAACAATACTTTTGCTTTAAAAGTAAGTAGAGGGCATAAAAGATGTCATATTCAAATTTCCATTTCATAAATGGTATACAGGCAAGGACTATAGAACGTGGTAAAAAGCTGACTTGCTTCATACTGCCACACAAGGCTTATAAAATAGTAAGATAGTAAAATAGCTTATGAAGAAACTACAGAGATTTACAATTGTGCATCACTCATTTCAGAGCAAAATAAGAACTCCTATCTGGACAGAAATTTTTCTAGCTAGCAATGTTATTTTTGTAAAATAGTTATCTATTAAAACTGTGAAGAGTAAAATAAAGCCAATGTATTATTGCCACACAAGTGATTATGCTAAAAATTATTATAAAGCGTATCATTTTATAATGTATTTACCTAACCTGATATACAGCTATAACCCAATGTATGAAAATCTCAAAAATTAAGACATCATCAAACAGAAGGCAGAATTCCTTAAACTGAGATCCCTGATCCATCTTTAATATTTTAATTTGTACAAGTAAAACAATTCTATAAACAACTTTGTAGGACTATGCCCTTTGGTGTACATTCAGGCATACTCATTTTAATCAATTTGAAAAGTTAATTTAAACCTCTAGAGGTGAATAAGAAACATGGGGGTAAAGTGTGAAAATATTAACTATGTCTTTGAACTCTAAAGACTGAAACTGTAACCACTGTGTAAATATAGTTACATATGTACCTGTTTATTTTGGCAGACTGAGTCAAAATATGAATGTATATATTGCATAACTGTGTTAGAATTGTATATATTTTAAAGAAATTGTCTTGGATATTTTCCTTCATACATAATAGATAACTCTTTGTTCAAATGTGGTATTTGATGTTTTGGATTAAATGTGTTTTGCCTTTTTGCTTTCCACAAAAATTACAAAAATAAATGCATGTGTGTACAAAAAGCTGCAGAACTCATTTGGTTTCTGAGAAAAATTAAATTGTAGTCAACATAAATTTTCTCATATCAAAGTATAACAAACAGAAAAGTTTCATTAATTGTAAACCACTCTTTTCATACCACATTATTGGATATCATTACAATTGTTTTGAAAATAAAGCTATTTTCTTTGGGCTTTTACAAGTTATATATTTTACCATTTCCATCTTATACAGTCACTTTGCTCCCATCCAGGACTCAATTTAAGAAGACTGAGGCTATAATTTGCCATAGGTGTCCAATCTGTGCTTCTAGCAGTGACCGCAAGGATGTTCTGCAGAACCCTTAAACTACCTTCAAAGTTTTGAGATAGTGTGAAGCATTGTTCCTCAAAATGCGGCCCATGGATAGATGGTGCTGCATCGCCTGGAACCTGTTAAAAGCACAGGTCTCAGGGGCCACTCTAAAACTACTAAAGTCAAATTGGAAGTTCTGCCACATCCCCAGGTGATTCATACTGCACTGAAGTTTGAGAAGCACTGCTCTAAAGCTCTAAAGCACAACTTACCTCTTGAAATAAAACGTGTCCTTGGAATAGAGAGGGAAAAAAATCAGCCAAACTGCTGCAACATACAAGAGCAGAGTCATCTGCATAGTTGTTTTAAAAAAAAAATTGTAGTAAGCATGAGGGTTTAAATATTTTTAAAGAGTAAATATGATGAAATAAATATGCTGGAGTTATAAAATAGGTATGTGTTGGGCTCACAGACTGCCATCGTTGTACAGATGGCAGAGTAATGCAAAGATGGGGTGGAAAGTGTGTACGTGCTGCCATAAATAGCGATGCACAAGCATCTCCATTCATGTCTGCGGTGCTCTCTCAGTGCCTCCCTGCCCATGGCAGCTGTGCTGAGCCATCTCTGGAGGGCAGCTCACTGCAGCACAACCATCAGGTAGTGCGTCTGCTATTTGGCTCACATTAAAATACAATCTTGGAGAACTGAGTGTGGGAATTGCAGCTACTTGGGAGGCTGAGGCAGGGAGGATCATTTGAACCCACGAGTTCAAGGCCCCCTCCCATCTCTTAAAAAACAAAATAAAATATTAGAGAAAAAGAGCACTAAGGTTTTTTTCTTTGTTTTTCACAGAGCAGGTTAGGAAATGCTGTTAAAGACCTGTATTAAAACAATCATTTTGTCCCATAGACTTAATTGGAAAATAATTGTATACTTACAGTAGTTCTTTTTATTTATCCTACATCACCTGTTAAAAACTACAAATTGCATTTTTAACATCCCCTTCCTCATCCTATCATAATCTTTTAATATTTTTTAAGGTGTCAAAGATTGGACATCATCTTACACAAAATCAGGGCCTAATTTTAATTTAGGAACCACTACAGCCTGACTTTAAAGACAATGGCTACTAAACTGAACTTTTGATTCTACACAAAATTAAATCTAAGACTTAAGTTGCTTAAAGAAACTTGACTATAACTTTTACTATGGCCCTGGCTCTACCGCCCTCTGCTGGATGATCCACTTATCATTCTTAAGAGAGGCCCTGACTGTACCAGGTGCTCAGTAACTGTGTAAGATGCCTAAATCACAATTTCTCGAAAAAGGCTGAAAATATACTGTGACTTTACAGTATATTTTTGTTCTTTGGATAGACAAAAATATACATCATATCCAAAGGACAAAAATATCCACGAAATAAGTCACTCGTTGGAACATATGCTGTTTCTTTCATTCAAAGATGAAAAAATCAACTTCATTTTACCACTTGTACAAAAATACTAGAAACATAAATCATTTGAATTTCCTATTTCTTGAGTGAACTTACTTAGCAATCATGCAAAGTCATGGCTTCAAAGTGACCTTGAAACACTGCAGGCAATATGATTAAAGGCTAATTTTTTTTAGATTACTCTTAGCTACTTGAAGCCAAGTTACAGAGATAGGAAGGCTACATATCATAGTGATACTAGCCCCTTACTACTGTGTCTCAACCACCAATTAACTGCCACTCTTAAGTAAGCAAGGGTCAGTAAAGATCCTATATAAGTCAAGTGCAAGGCACAAAATCTCTCAAGGCCATTCCATCCCAGTTCCAGCTGGGATTAACTCCTAAACCTCTGTATTAGTGACTTTATAAGCATAACAGTTTCAGTTCCAAACTTAGAATAAAGCCTACTTGATGAAGGCATGATTCTTTTAAAACATAAAGAATGTTCTGTTCTTTAAAAACATCATTACCCTCAATAAAGATCTTCTAACGAAACATTTAAGTAGGAAAATCTTGAAATCCACATATACCTAACAACATTGCATATGACATAATAAACATCCATTTAACAACCTATGTACAAAATCCTAGAAATATCTACAGTGACCCAGTAGCCCCATGAAAATGTGCTTTCAGATATAATGCAACAGCCAGCACCCACCCCTGCTCTCCAATGGGGACTGGCTGAAGCTCGATGACAGGCACAGAGTGACACTGAACTGCGAAGGTAAGGCTGAGGCCAATAGGCCTTACCTTCCCTAAACCCGCAGAGGAAGTAGGCGGAGGGTTCATCTGCCCTTCCAGTATCCTTCTGGCCCAATCTCTCCAGATGGACTAAGGAATAAGCATCAACTGATGTAACCAGGTGATTCCTAACGTCAGTGTGGCTGTCCTGTGGGTCCCAGCCACAGATAAAATACAGAGTGTTTCCCAAGGTATTTTAGGTTGGTAGACAAAGATCACTGGGTGAGTGCCTGACACAAAACAGGTGTTCAATAAATATTTGTTGAATAAATAAATTCCTTAGGTAAAAGATGTTTTCACTAGATATAACAAATAAGATTACTAGGTTTCTTATTTGTCCCAGACATAAGAAAAAAAATCCTTCAATCCAAGTGACTGAAAGTATAGCTTCTGCTCTTAATATGCATATGCAAATTTTGTGATGATGCCAACTGCCCAAATTATGCCAGTATTTTGTTATTTTATGAACTATGTGTTTACTTGAGATTTACTGAGAGTAGATCTTAAATATTCTCACCACACAAAAGAAGGGACTATGTGAGGTGAGGAATATGTTAATTCGCTGTGGTAACTGCCTCACAATGTGTATGTATATCAAAACATCACTTTGTATCCCTCAAATATATACAATTTTTGTTTGTCAAGTATGCCTCAATAAAGCTGGAAAAAAAATTTTTAAACTATATGGGACTTATATACACAAGTCTATCAACATACTGTAAAGTTTAACCAACTAAAAATTGGGGCATTGTTTACTTAAACATTTTAACACAAACCACCTTGTTTCTAGTTAGCTTTATGACAATTTTGTGCTGACCTGTTAACAATTTTGTGCTGACCTGTTAAATTAACAACTAATAAAAAAGAACAAAAGTTTTCTGCTAAGATTATAGATTCTGAAATCCCAGAAATCTCCATAATAAGAACTATTTTAGGTAATTCTTTTTAAAAAAAAGATATTGCTTTTAAACTTTTGAAATCATGGGTTTCAGTTTATTATTTTTAATATATTTCTGAAAATATACAATATCAAGACTGTCTGATAATGATTTTTTAATACTTTCCAGTTCTGCCAACATTCCTGTCATGCATCCTTGATAACAATGCTATCCCTGAACCGGAACGGGGCTGGTAAAGTGGGGTCAGTGGGGGAGTATTTTTCCGAGCCAGTTAAAGTCACTGAGGAGGACCCATACCTCAATGTGAGTTGAGATACAATTAGAAATTAGTCATGGAAGGGCATGTCTACCACAGACATCTTTCCTCACATTTAAATTATTCAATTTCTTTCCTGCAGTCCTCCTTCTATCTTTAGTTCCATTTTAAATAACCATTCATCCTACATACCCATTTATCTTGCTTCCTTTTTCTCCCTTTTGTCCTACTGGTATAATATAAGAGATTGTACTTCAGTAAACTATCCTAATGTGGAGAGAAAAAAAAAATCAAAATGTGATCAATGATAATAAACAAAGTTAAGATTGCATGCTCTAAAAACGTTAAGTGATTAATTGTTGGATGCCCAAAAGCACTCTTTGTTTCTTTTCCAAGATGATGACTCTTCATATATTTCCTAAAAAACAAAATTGTAACAGCTATTAAAACTAGACCATTCTAATACATGAATATAAAATATATTTGAATAAGTCAGATGAATGAATACCACATCTATTTCAATGGTTCCTCTTTCAACAATCTAATAGACATTTGTATAAAGCACTGAGAGCAGAAAAATTAATGGACAGACACGTTCTCCATATTTAAGGATTCTCAACACAACTGTAAAAATAATAGACTAGAAGCTATAGCAAAACAGCGTGCAACCACAGAAGGAAATACGCAATTAATTCTATTTGAGGTCATGACAAGAGACATCATGGGCAAGGTTACAGAGGGGAAGACAGAAGGTCTTTAGTTTCAAACATTTTCTTCTTTCCAAACACACGTACTACGTCAACATTTCTAAATATGCTTTTCCAAAGGCAAACAGAATATCCTCACTAGTTGTTAAATTCAGTGATCACCTTTCAGAAGTTCTTAAACAAGTTTGAGCTGTGCTCTGGTATGAGCAGCTCTGTGACATATGCACTCTAGCCACCTGCCACCCTTTCCTATATCATAGATGATCTCAAAGCACAGGCCAAGACCAGAACCAGACTAGAAGTTACATAGTTTGTGGAAAGGAGGGGTAAGAAGAACATCTAACTTTTTCTTCTCACTGTCTAGTCACATTCCATTTCTGAAAGGAGAGGAATTCAAATTTGACTGTCCTCTGAACACCTGCACTTCCCCTAACTCTCTACAGATAAACAAAAGCAAAATAGGAAGCCCAGCTATAACTGAAAGCATGAAAACAAAAATATGCCCCAACTCCTGCCCCTTACCTGTATTTTCTGGGCTTGTACCCATCTGCCTTCTGTTCACTGACTCCATCCTTTCCTCCCTGGTAAAGAAAGCTACCCCTTCCTCCCAGACTTTGCAGCTTATCTTAGAATGCTCTTCTTGCCTCTCCCTCTCCGGGGGCCTGCCCCCACTTCTATCAAAATTGTGTCAGCCTAGTTCACAGCAAGGCAACAAGATTATCTGAGCTTCATCAAGTTTCCTTTCACATATTCTATCCTCTAATCCCTAGGTATTCTCTTATAACAATGGGTTTCAGTTTTCATTCTAACAACATGGTCACCAAATTTCCCAGGCCCTGGTTATGAGTCCAACTTGCTTCTTTCTATCACTGTCTGAGGCAGGAAACCCCCGGGAAGGAGAGGAGAAGTACCCTTTAAAAGCCTTGGCTTTCTGCTCTGCTCTGTGGGTCTTCTGAGCTGTTCATTAACTCCTCAGCTTTGTTGTAAGTCATAGCGCAGTGGGCAATTCTAGAAGATTCTAGATGTTGAAGAGCAATTACACATGTGCAAGCACAGAACAATCCCACTGCTAACATCATGACACCAAGGAGAAATTAGGGATTTGGGCCTTTTTATCCCATCAGAATGCTCTATTTAACCAGAGAATTACTCACCTTTATTGACTGGCTTGACTTAACAGAAAACATGCCAGAAGTTCCTATTTATGTTTTTAAATCCGCTCACTGTGCATTTTCTCAGAGGGAGCAACCTTTTTTTTTTTTCCCCTAAAAAGGACCTCTAGGAAAAAAAGCCTGTTTCACCTTAAAGAATTTCTATTTCAACCATTACCTTAATAGCTAATGCATTATTTTCACTTTCCAACAGAAAGAGCCGCTAATTCAAGGGAATTATAATCCAAGGGATTCATATATGAACCTCTCCAACGGTCCAGACTAGGAATTCTCACTGTTGCCACTCATTGAGGCTTACAGTGTGCTATGCATTCTTTAGGGCACATATTTTTCATGTGTAACAAATCTTGGAAAGAAGATATTTTACAGGTAAACGAAACAAGACACTACAGTCAGTAAAAAGTCCATGAATATAAATTCTGTATAATAAAAGGTGAAGGGTTTTCTCTAAAAATTCCTGAGAAAAATCAGGCCCACTTGGTAAAATGTGTTATTTTCTTAACTTACCTTTTTCCATATGGGCACCTTGGCTTTTAAAGTATCAATGGCATAGGTCACAGCTTCAAGGGATGCAGCTCTGTGGGCTGAGGATACAGCAATGATTACGCTTGCTTCTGACACTGGAACCAGGCTTTAACAAGATGAAGAGAAAAAATCACCATCGCCACTGAATCTACATGTTAAAGAATCTGCTAGACAGATGAAAAAAAATCCAGGTATGCAGCCTTAGAACTATAGTGTAGTTCTATTTTACATAAACATCCAGTTAGAAAACAGTAATTAATTGCAGTAGCATTCAGCAGAGGCAGCAGATGAGGCTAATGCTATGGCTAATTTGTTACAATCTATCCACTAAACCCTCCTGATGGGCACCAAGGAAAATCCTTTCATTGATACAGCAAGCATCTGACTCAAACAAACAAGGCACAGTGCCAGGTAATGCCTAGAGATACAAAGTTATGGCCTAACAAGTATAATACAGAATTTAAAACAATAAATATCAAGTAATAGGAGTGATAATATTAACCATTAATAAAACTACTGGCTATTAATAACAAACTATTAACTAACAGAGTATTACAGATAGTCTCAATTACTGGCTTCTTTTCAAAGCCAAAAAAGAACTCTTCTCTTTTTAGGGGTACAAAAAGGCAAATTACTTTAATGACTTTCAGAAGCATTTATATCCAAAAGAATCTGTCAAAGACTGTCATATAAACAGACTCACAGATTGTCATATAAACAGACTCCAGACCACAGAAAAACTCTCAGAAGGCCTCAAGGCCTTTAGCACACTTTAGCACAGGCCCAAGGGCCTGAAAGTCCTGAAAGCAACAAAAGCTCTCCCAGTATCAAAACCCCCCAGGCAGTCACTAAAGGTACCAAGAGCTATCCCTATTATCTTCCAAAAATAATACATGAACATTCCTCTCATGGTAATGTAGAATTCCTAAGAACAATTCAAGAATCAGAGACAGTACAAAGATGAAAAGCAACAATACTTCACTTTTAAACTGATAAAGGAAATCATACCCAAGTCTATGGAACACTGCTATGTGTTTCACTGGCCATTTCTGCCTAATGTCACTACAAATCTTTCTGACTTCATTATCCGCCATGGGTAGATATGCTTCATATTCTAAGCTAATGACTTTTTTCCCTTCAAAGTTATTTCTTGTAGTCCCTTTAAAAAAAGAAAGAAAAAAAAGCAATTAAAATAAGGTTTTTCCCTACAAAAGAAATAGCACATTAATAAAAAAGGATTATTTGTAGTAGTAAGCAGCATGCCAATTTTTTCTAAAACTACTTTGAAATCTTCTAAAAACAAAATTTGGTTAGGAAAATAAAACATATCGTCACAAAGATGATAAGGAAATAAAACAGCACTGATGAAGCAAGCTTATTGAAAACACTCACCTGGCAAACCAGACAATATTCGTCTTGTGACAAATAGATACTTCAAAGGAAAATATTTATGCTTCCAGGACTATCAAGTACATTTTTACTTTTGATATTGGAAAATATAGAATTCTCTCTCCCTAACAGTGACTTTTATCCTACTTTTCAAAATGCCTTGTAATTTAATACAGGTTAATTTGAAGGTTACTAAAACAAAACAAGAACTAAAAAAATGTCTATCCACCATCATGGGTACTCTTGGTTTAATGTTCAGTATTTCAAACTCCTCCATTAACACTGAACATGGAAAGCGCATGCTAATTCCTATTGTCTTGTGCAGTGATAGATGCGATGAATATTACAACTCACCTACAAATAGGGATATTGCACCACAGAGCGGAGAAATCACCAACTGTGAGACTTCATCTACTGAAAGTTTCTCGGCAGTAAAGTTTATAATGTCTTTAGATTTCTCTTCAACTTCATCCATATCTCCTCTAGAAATAAGAGGTTAATAAACCTTAAGGAAGTCCTAGGGGTAAAACACTCAACAACTTATAGGCTCTTTCAATTTATGTTTTCTACAAATTGTTGATGGAAAAGGAAGAGGCTGCAGCACAAAATATAATTTAAAGAATTTACATGAGCCAAGACAACGACAGTGGCCCAGGATACTACCAAGATACCTTGGAGAGTTCCCTTGAAGAGCACTCCCTAAGCCTTTGCTGCAAGCAGGTTTTTAAAGGCAAAGGCAACAAGAAGAGGGCTAATACAATAATACAAAGTTACCTCAGGAATTCTCACTGGCATAGGAGATAACGTTGATTGCTGATTGGCTGTACAAAGTGGAACTATGGCGGGATACAAGTTAGAGTGTCCAGCATATGGATTTTATGGTTTCTTAGCCTCAGCTACTCTGCAGCCCTCATAAAAAGTAGCTTCAAGAGGTAATTACTGGCCGGGCACAGTGGTTCACACCTGTAATCCCACCACTTTGAGAGGTCAAGGCAGGTGGATCATTTGAAATCAGGAGTTCGAAACCAGCCTGGCCAACATGGTGAAATCCTATCTCTACTAAAAATACAAAACCCCATCTCTACAAAAATAGCCAGGTGATAGTGGCATGTGCCTGTAATCACAGCTACTCGGGAGGCTGAGGCAGGAGAATTGTTTGAGCCGAGGAGGTGGATGTTGCAGTGAGTCAAGATCAATTGTGCCACTGCAGTCCAGGCTGGGTGACAGAGTGAGACCCCATCTCAACAAATAAAAGAAAGAAAGAAAAAAAAGAGAGAGAATGATGCAGCTTAAGGGGGAGTGATGTGACTGCCGTTTCATTGCAGTGCCTTTCTATGTCTCTTAATTTAATGTTTTATCTGAGGGGCTCACATTCCTCAGATAAAAAGTTTCTTTTCTTTTTATTCCAGGCATGGGAGGCATGATTGGATTTGATCTGAATGATAAAAAATAATCAAGTGTAAAAATTAGCAAAACTCAATTATGTGTATAAATAGCCATAATGAATCAGGCATGACATAAAAAGGAACTCATCATTAACATGATCACTAAAATATAATCTATCTCAATGCCAATATATTCCAAATTCTGTAACTGCTATTCATTTCTCCCATCAAGGTACAGTGGAGGCATCGCCATCTTCACCTACATGCCCATCCCCTCTGCACCACTATGGTACCAAGCACCACATCTAAAGCTGCCTTTTTCCTTATCCAACAAAAAAGGGATAACAGAAGTGATAGTGATTCTACAGAAACTGGGTTCCCTTTTCAACCTGGTACAACCCCAGGTAAGTAACTGAAGAAATAAGGGAATGAACTACACACTTATTTACTAGGTATTGTGCAAAGCCCTTTGCCATGCATTTCTCATTTAATTCCTCAAACATTATTACACACTCACTGAGGGCCAGACACTAAGGCCAGGCACTAGATATAAACCAGGGGAAAGAAGCACAAGCTCCTTTCCTCAGGGTGCTTATGTTCAAATAGAAGAAACAAAGCAATAACTAAGGATAACAAATGGGGATACCTTGTGGAAATAACAGGCTTCAGAGACACAGCCTAGGGTCTGGGGGAGATTTCTCTCAAGAGGTTGTGTTAAAAGTTGGGATGTGAAAGATAAGGAGGAAGTGTTGTAAAGAAACAAGGGCACAGGCCTCCAGGCAGAGAGAGGGAGTGGCAAATGCCAAGTCTCTGGGACAAGAAAGGGTGTGATGTGCTCCAAACCTAGAAAGAAGGGAGAGAAAAGGGCAGGCTGAGTCTAGACAGGTAGGTAGAATCTTGCAGGCAATGATGAATATAATTATTAATCCTGTAAGGTTTCATCTGAATTGAAAGATGAGAGAAAGAAGGCTCAGAGAAGTTGAGGAACTCACTCAGGGTGCTGAAATTCCAACCAAGGAGGTACTTAGTTAAGCCAATGTTCTTTTTCCTATCTTCTTTCCACCACTGAAACAGCACAATTATTTATACACCACTGGATTTCAGGGTTTTTCATCTGCTATACAAGCCACCTAACTATCTTCAATCTCTTTTTCTTGCAATAAGACATAGGTATACAAATATGATCTATGAGCGTCAAACCAGGCTGAGTTCCCACAACTTCTGATTTTACAAGACTACTATCATCTATCTGGCAGTTTCTAAAAATGCATAATACCAGTTCTACCAAACACATTCAAGTAACACAGAACACTTTTGAGGAATCTTTGTAACCGTTTCAAAGAACAGCTGTAATGACCACAAATACCCCTTTAATGGAAGCCTATAGTTTTCTGAATAAATTCCAAATTCCAAAAAACTGCATTTTAGAACCTCCTGAAATCATGGTAGTGATATGGTGACCACAGTTTCTAAATAGCATTGAGATACATATCTGATAAGAAATTCTTCTATTATTTGCAGATAGCAGGCCTGAGAAAGAAGCCTAGTGTCGACCCGAGGGGCAATCTGTTTTTACAGATGACTCTTCATTTCTTGTGGCATTGCCCTACACGAGGGTGGGGAAAAAAATGTGTGAAAAAAGACAAAAAGCCATCCTTGGCTTGTTCCTTTCTTTAACGGAACCAAGTTTTTATCATCAAGTATGATATTTACTCCTGAGTTTGAATAGAAATTCTAGCAAATTAAGAAAGTCTTCTTTCATTCCTAACTTACCAAGTGTTTATTCAGGGATGACTGTTAATTTCTACTGTATTTGTTCTTCAGTTGACAATAAATTAAGCCTCATTATGACTGTACTTATAAGAAGCCTCATCTCTCCAGACTATACTGAACAATGTTCTTGTACATTATTCTACTCAAATATGGACTAAGTTGTTTATAAAGAGGACAAGGTAGCCTGGGTCAAAGAGCCACCTGCAACACAGCCATAACAATAAAGCTATTCCTTTAGTCCTGGACAATGGTAAGCTTTCTTTTCAGGCATTACTAGTTGTGCAATTTTTCTACATTTCTCCATGCCCAGGAGAGCGATTATCTAGTATTAGTAAGTGTGCTTGGCAAAAAATACACAGAGAGTCCAATAATATGAGTTCAAATGTTGTCTCTTGAATAGCTCTTAAATCATCAGCAAAAAGAACAAAGCTTGAGGCATTGCGCTACCCAACTTCAAACTATACTACAGGGCTACAGTAACCAAAACAGTATGGGACTGGTACAAAACAGGATGCATAAACAAATGAAACAGAACCCAGAACCCAGAAATTAAGACCCAAACCTACAACTATCTGATCTTCAACAAACCTACAAAAACAAGGAATGGGGAAAGGATTCCCTATTCAATAAATGGTGCTGAGTAACAGGTTAGCCATGTGCAAGAGACTGAAACAGGACCCTTTCCTTATACCACACACAAAAATTAACTGAAGATGGATTAAAGACTTAAATGTAAAACCAAAAACTAGAAAAACCCTGGAAGACAACCATTCTGGATCTAAGAACAAGCAAAGATTTCATGACAAAAAAGACATGAAAAGCAATTGCAACAAAAGCAAAAATTGACAAAAAAAAAATTGACAAAAATTGACAAATTGGATCTAATTAAACTAAAGAGCTTCTGCACAGCAAAGGAATCTATCAACAGATAGCTTCCTTTGGAGATCAAATTCTTGATCACCAGAATTCTTGATTCTACCCTCCGCTAATGGGGGAGGGGCAGATAACGGCAATTTCATCTCCCAGTTGAAGCAGGAAGAGCTGATCTCCAAGCTTAACATATTCTTGATGAGCAGATAACCTACAGAAGGGGAGAAAAATTTTGCAAAGTATGCTTCTGACAAAGGTCTAATATCAGCATCTCTAAGGAATTTTTTAAAATGCATGAGGAAAAACAACCCCATTAAAAAGTGGGCAAAGGACATGAACAGGAACAGGAGCTTTTCAAAAGAAGACATACATGTGGCCAACAATCATATGAAAAAAAAAAGCTCAACATCACTGATCATTAGAGAAATGCAAATCAAAACCACAATGAGATATCATCTTACACCAGTCAGAAGAGCTATTATTAAAAGTCAAAAAATAACAGATGCTGGCAAGGATGCAAAGAAAAGGGAATGGTTGCTGCTGGGAGTGTAAATTAGCCCAATCATTGTGGAAGACAGTGTGGTCTAGAGACTGAAACACCATTCAACCCAGCGATCCCATTACTGAATATATACCCAAAGAAATATAATCTTTCTGTCATAAAGACACATGCATGCGTACATTCACTGCAGCACTATTCACAACAGCAAAGACATGGAATCAACCTAAATGCCCATCAATGGTAGACTGGATAAAGAAAATGTGGCACATATACACCATGGAATGCCATGCAGCCATAACAAAGAACAAGATCAAGTCCTTTGCAGGGAAAAGGCTAGAGCTGGAGGCTATTATCCTTGCCCAACTAACACAGGAACAGAAAACCAAATACCAAATGTTCTCACTTGTAAGTCGTAGCTAAATGATGAGAACTCATGGACACATAGAAAGGAACAACAGACACTGGGGCCTTTCAGAGAGTGGGGGGTAGGAGGAGGAGGAGGATCAAAAAAATAACTAATGGGCACTAGACTTAATACCTGGGTGACAAAACAACCTGTACAACAAACCGCCATGACACAAGTTTACCTATATAAGAAACCTGCACATGTACCCCTGAACTTAAAAGTTAAATACATTTTTTAAGTTGGCTCTTTCCCTTATTAGCTATGTAATTAGCTATGTGATCAAAGGCAAGTTTTTTAAGTCTTTTGAATTTGTTTTTCCACTTGCAAAATATGGTTATTAATACATCACTGTGTCTGACACATAAGATCTCAATAAACCATGTTAAATGAAACATATCAAACTGATATTAATTAAACTGCTTACTTGACACAGAGATGGTGTGGTGGTATTCATAAATCTGTTGGCACCTATAAAGAGTTGCTGCATTGATAAAGATTTGGTACAGACAGACTTACGAAGAATATACATTAATAGCAAACCATATATACTTTATCATCTGTATGATCCTTCCCCACATGACTGGTTAAGAAAAATAAATCTCACGTACCTACATGGCTCAAAAGCACTACCCTCCGCTAATCGGGGGGATGACAGCAATTTCGTCTCCTGGTTGAAGCAGGAGGAGCTGATCTCCAAGCTCGACATATTCTTGACGAACGGCAAATATTACCTGATTTCTAACATCAGCCAATCTAAAGGGGAAAAAGTATGAATCAAAATATCAACGCAATGATAGACCTCAAATCTCTTCAGCTGCAATTAGAGATATTACATAGATATAATTCTATGAAGCAACACCTGCAAAATTATCAATTAAACTTAAACAGTGTGTGGAGAAAGGGCATATCCACTTATATATACATATTTACACATCACAAAGATACATTAAACTGCTCTCAACTCTTTATTGGATGTTGTATGCCTTGGGAAATTAAAGAAACAACAACAACAACAAAAAACACACACACAAAAAAACTTTTCTTTTGAATCTGGTTTGAGGCAATACTCAAACCAGGTCAAAAGAAAAGTTTCCAATCAGTACATGGCCTTTCCAGGGCCTTCCATCCATGCGTACAAGCACAAGTATAGCTGCCCACAAACTGTGCTTGTACACGTTATCCTACTCAAACATGGGTTCATCTTTCCATGCTTAGAAAGATAAAAAGATGTCCTGGGTCATAGAGCCACCTGCAACACAGCTCTAATAAAGCAGCTCCTTTATACCTCAACAATGGTAAGCTTTCTTTTCAGGCACAGTGGAAATGTATACAATCAGCTGTCTCCCTCCAGGTAAAAGGCTCAAGGTAAAGCAGAACGGGAGACCCCACTGTGTTTCATTGATTATTAGACCGCTGTAAGAGCAACTTAAAAGATACGAAATCATGAAGTAGTTTGCTTTTAAACATATATTGTGGAGTATCTTTTACACAGAACTAGGACTTCCAGATTAAATGTCTACACAGCTTTAAGTGACACCATTATATATTCCTGAATCACCCTCAAATAAGTCACTTTTAATTTTGTTCCAAAAAGGGCTTGAAGTGGGAAAGACAGAAGTAAAATTACACATTTTCAAGAACCAGGAAAAAACATTAGCTATTACAAAAACTCAAATTCAGCAGCATCTAGGATTTGTTGTAACTCATTTTTCTTTTAATCTTAGAAATTTCTATTTTGAGTTCTCTTTAAACAGAGGGACAGAACAAAAAAGTTTAAAGCACACATTTTGAACAGAATTTGTAACAATTTCATTTAATGTTATAAAATTGCAGAATTGGCATGCGCAGTGTTTTGAAAATTATCAAAGAGAATATAATCATGTCTCTGGGGTTCACTGTGCTTTTGGGTAAAATATCCTTAATCTTTCTTAAGAAATGGTGCATATTTAGAGTTTACGTCTTCAGTAGTTCAAAAAAAATACGACTCTTTCTGACATTCAGCACAGCAATCAAAACTAACCTTTTTTTACTTTTATCATTTATATATTTTAAAAATATTTAAGCATTACTCAAATGCATTCTACAAATTTTTAAGTACCCAGGATGTCGAGTTTCTATCTCCTTCCACAGCTGCAACGCTTTTATTTCTCGTGGCACAGAAATGGTCTCTGAACGAACTCCTGTTATTTCAGCACTTTTTGCAAAATACAATACTTCAACCTGAAAGTAAAGAAAATGTTTTTAATAACAACTCATACACATTTTCCAACTGTCCATGTTGAGTAGTTTTCTCATTTTCCAAATGTATTACTTTAATCTATAAAGAAAATTAAATAACCCACAAAAAAATTCAGTATATCTACAAGTTCAAATTCTGAAAACTTGTTTTAAATACAATTCAGACTAATTTGTGGATGCCTTTTAGTTTTACAAATGTAAGTGCGCGATCATTAAAATCATAAGTATCTTCTAGGAAAACATGTTTAGCCTGTTTTTAATTGACATAAAAGTACAGCACCTTTTATAAATATGTAAACAAAGAACAAATGTCTGAGTCAAGAGATGAGTTACACAAATAAAATAAATGAACAAATTAAGCGGAAAAATTTGTTTCTCACGGTTGACAAATGACCTTGGATTCCGATCTGCATAACATTGTCCCCAGACACTAAGGATGAAGTTATGCAACATAGTAAATCTCACATTTATGGAAGCAAGTGGGTTTGAAACACAGGACAATCTGGTATTTACCAGAACAAACCTGTGCCAGCAACCTGGTATGTAAGGAATCCGACGAAGTAAAAGCGGCACCTGTCTCTCAGTGCAAACTCTTCTCTACCAAATAATTACAGGTTTGCAAATAACCAAGGGTGTGGAAATCCACAGATGAAGCACAGTTCTTCACAACAATTCTCCATGAGGTGCATTTCTTTTTAGATTAAAATTTTAGCTTCATCAAAACGAAGAATCTGGGAAAGAGGTGGCCACAAAAGGTCGAGGCGCCTTCAGAACGAACCCGTCCCTGCTGCCGTGAGTGGACAGGAGTTCTCAGAGCGGACCTGACTTCCGCCGGGGCAGTGGCAGCAAAGCTCCGGGCCGGGAAGGGCTCTAGGGTGGGGGAGGGGGCGCCCCCGAACCAAGACGCCGGCCGCCTGGGTGTGAGTTGGGGGCTTGTCGGGAGGTCTGACTGACCAGGGCTAGATCTGTGGAGGGAAGGGGCGGGACAGACACGTAGAGGAAGGCTCCACACCCAGGCCCACATTCACACCCGCGACCCTTACCTGGCACCGAGGCACCATCCCGCTAGGGACCTCTGGACCTAACCGCAACCGCAGAAGCGCAGGCGCAGCCTGAGGGCGTTCGGCACGCTCCTGCACCGCACGGAGCATGCGCACAACTAGCTCCGCCCGCGCCCGCCTGGGGCTGTCTCCTCACGGCAGACTGTTGACAAGCCAGGATTAATTTTCCGTCGAAGATGGGTCGTGGTGGTGAGAGCGAGCAATCAGTACGGAAAGGGCTGACCATGCATGTCCTTGTCCCCAGGAGGGAGGTCGTGATACAGGTGAGCAGACGCCAGACTCCCCTGGACTCTTGAAGCCTGCGTTATGGAGGCTTAGCTAATAGCCTTGCAAAGGCCTTCAGGCTTTTCCACCCGCCCACCTTTAGTCTTCTCTTTGACACTTTTACCTACGGTATGTGAACCCCGAAACTTTGAGAAAGATTTCAGTTAATTTAGAAAGTTTATTTTGCCAAGGTTGAGGACACACCCGAGACACAGCCTCAGGAAGTCCTGAGGACATGTGCCCAAGGTGGTTGGGGCACAGCTTGGTTTTATACATTTTCGGGAGACATGAGACGGCAATCACTATGTAAGAAGTACATCAGTTCCTTCCAGAAAGGCGGAGACAGCTCAAAGCAAGCCCTCCCCTCCAACACCACTGGGGGCTTCCAGGTCACAGGTAGGTGATAGACAGATGGTAGCATTCTTTTGAGTTTCTGTTAAGTCTTTCCAAAGGAGGCAATCAGAATATGCATCTATCTCTGTGAGCCAAAGGGACGACTTGAATAGGAGGCAGATTTGCCCTGAAGAGTTCCCAGTTTGAAGGGGCCCAAGATATTTTTCTTTCACAGGTATACGATTAGTATTTCTTAAAGACTTAGAATATCCGCCTGATCAGAACATTTGAACAGTATCACTTTTCCTGTTTACTGGCTGCTCGGTAATTGTCTGCATACTATCCATCCAAATTTCCCAATTTCTTGCCTAAAAGAACTTTTGGCTTTAAATTGCCTGCTTCGTTACATGGATGTAAGTTACCTGTCCCTTTTCTTGGAGCTCACAGTCCGGAGTAGGAGAGTTTTAAATACGAATGGTAATTCCCTTAATGCTAAGGACATATGTTACATTTCAAGGGTGGAAGGGGTAAGTAAAATTGCATTACCTGGGGAATGTGCTCTAGTAAGTCTCACTGAGAAGATGCTGGAGCTAAATCTGCTAGAATAGTGACAGTAAATGACAAGAGTGGGAGTAGTGCGTGAGGAAATTTCACTTGCCTCTAACAAGCCGCAGGGATATGAAGAACCATAAGTTCACGGGTGGGCAAGCAGTTGGCAAGGCAGGTGTGCCTCCAGCAAAGAAGTAGGTGATGAGAAGTGAGGCTGGAGAGTCCTTGGTAGGAAGAATTGACAAGGAGTGATTAATACCAATGCATATCCTGGTAAAGTTGCTACACATCAAGGATAAAGAATTATATTCACATCCAGACATAAAAACAAGGGAATGATGATAGTGGCCTTAGACTCCTCAATGGAATCCAATGCCAGTGGGTGGCAATGTGCAGTATCTAAAAAAGGCTGAGAACAAAAGCTTGATCCCATAATATTACGTACCACCAAGCTGTACATAACGATACTCCTACACCAGCAAAAACTCAAAAAATGCAATACTCAGGAACACTTCTTAAAAATTCTTCTTGGACAAAAAGTCCACTCAGTCAAGAGTAATCAAAGTAAATAACTCAGCAATAAAGATGTTAATGGGAAAAATGAAAAACTAAAAAAACTGGCATAGAGATTTTAATCCATTCAAACATAAAACTATTATAGAATAAAATGTAAATTACATCAGAATATTTTAAAAATGGAAACTGTCCAAAGTTGGAATATGTAGTTACAAAATACTAATTCAGGTTTCTTAATATTTTTCATAATATTATTTATTTTAGAAAATATTTTAGGAGTAACTATCTCCTACGAATAAACAATATTCTGATAATTTGTAATTTTATCAGTTTCACCAGTTATTTTGTTGATAAATTCAAATAAATATATGTCAATAATATTGCCTTGATTTCATTTTTTATTTTCTAATTCCTAATGAGGTGAATCTTTTAATATTTTCATTGGCCACTTATAATTCTCTGTGAAGTTTCTGTTCACATAATTTATTCATTACACTGTAGATATGACACAGTTCTTTTTTACAAAATACAGCCCCAGCAATAATTTATGAATATGCAAGAAAAGCTGATACCAAAAATTTCCACGCTTATTCCGTAGGCTTTGAGTTTACTTTTCTTATGAATTCATTAATTAAATCAGTAAATCATCATGATGGAATATAAATTATTTTCGTAATAAAATGATTTTATGAACATTTGCATTTCACTTAAGCTACAATATTTTGTGAAAACATAGTTGGACCCACCATTTTCCCAGTTATTTTTACCATAAGGAATCCTACTTGATTAAGAAAAAGAGTAAGTTGAGAAAAAACATTTCCATTTTGTTTTCAGATTGAAAAAAGATGAGATTCCATGAGACTAGAAATGTAGGAGTGTCTCACACCTTCACAGAAGGCTCTGTTAAAAGATCAGAAACATAACTTTACTTGGTAGTAGCAAATTATCAAAAATGTTTATGGTCTTTTCTGAAAAACAATTTCTCCCCGAAACACCTGGCAGAATCAGAGTTCATTGTGTCCAAAGAAAAACTTTAGACAAATTAAAATGAGCAAAGAACAATTCCTGAATCGCTCCCCTCCTTCAGCCAGAACAGGTTCAGAAAGACTCCAGTGATGCCACGTAATCAAAGAATTATGGACCAAAAAAGCAAATACATTATAGGAAAAGAAAATGAGATACAGAAACAGCTGAATTGGTTACAGCTTGGTGTTTACCTTACTTGGACAAGGTTTGAACAGTTGCCTACCTTTGATTGGCTGCAACACAGTGATTGGTGTAAGAGTAGATTACATCCTGTTTACACATCCGGTTAGGTTACAGTTCACTGTGTGCTGAGAAACATTTAGGCCAAACTTAAAATTTGTAAGGAAGCAGCTTTAAAGGCTAAACTTACTTTAAAAGTTATTAGATATTCTGTCAATTGTTTCACCAATAGTTAACAGGTTTTTTTTTTGTTTTTGTTTTCCACGCTATTAAAATAGTATATAAATACTTGCCCCCATTGATTCTGTTTTATCATGTTACATTTTAGTCTTTAATTGAATTGAACCTATTTTTTCCCTAAAATTCAACCTATTCATCCATTTACACAGATTTTTTAATCTAAATATTTTCTATCAAATTGCTAAACATTTTTAGCCACATTCTATTTTCATTGCTACCCATATATTTTTTACCATCATTTTCAGCTACTAAATAGTATCTAGTCCTAGATATCTGGCAGCCCATTATCAGGAACTTTTCATGAAATGCTTCAGTGACCTTGTTTAAGTCAGTAATGAAGTTTATAATCATATTCTATGACCAAAAAAAGTACAGGTAGTAGATTTTCAAATCTCAGCCCATGTCTACTCCTTTATTTCCCAGTGTGGCAGAACTTTTGAACAGTGAAAATCCTTCTGTCTGAGGAAGTTTGGACTATGTGATGTGAGATTCATAGACATTGACTAGTGTCATTAGCATATTTTAATAGTATTTACATTTTTTATTAAAAATAGATGATGTAGTAGTGACTTTTTGAAGGACTAGCAAAGCAGGATATTTCCCTGACCCCTTCATGGGACCCATGACAGGGGTGCCTCATTTACTCAACCTGCTGCTCACAACTCCTCACGAGAGGGAGCACAGGAGCAAACAAGGGCGAGGACTGGCGTGCACCAGCGCTGGAACCACCCGGCTGCTTCGGTGCTGGTGGGATCAAACTCAACTCATTCAGACCCACTGTGTTCCACCCCTCGAGGGAGCATGGAGGTGAGTGGGTGCAGGAGTCAGAGTGAGCACTTTTGGGCGCCAGCAGGAGCAAACTCCATGCAGGGCCCTGCAGCAGTGACTAGGGGGCTGCCTGTGATTCTCAAAGCCCCAAAGAGCATGTTACAGTGCTCTTGTAGCTCTGCCATCTACAGTCGCCTTAAGTGTAAACAGCTCAATGGGCCCTTTGCCTTTTCGCATGAGGCAGGTGCCCTCCATCAACAAGAGTAAAGGGCCTTTTGTATCTGCACTCATGGTTCCTGAGCTCTTGTCCAGTGTCCAGAAAAAATGAGATCACACAAAATAATAGAAGGACGATAAATGCGGGGCATTTTATAGCTGCTGAAAGTGGCTCTCAGCAGGAAGAAGAACAGAAAAGGGGATCAGCTGGGTAGGTATTCTTCCCCTGAAGTCCTGCTGTGGGACTATGTTAACTTCTCTTCCAGATTCTGCAAGGGGCGTGGCTTCAAAGGCAAAAACTCCCCAGCACCATGCCTCCATCTACCTCCCCATCCGGGAACCTAGAGTTCTTGGTCTAACTTTCCCACCTGGGCTAGGTAAAATTTCAGGTGTGCTCCTTTGTTTTAAAAACCCGCAAAAAGCTCTGGGAGGAAGGGCATCTGTTTTGGCTGGACAACCAATCCTGCATCAAAATCGAAGATCAGTCACCCCAGAGGAAGTTTCAAAGAACTCCTCTCATTGGACAAGAACATGAATGGGGCAGGAAAAACTTCAACGTTAAAACTCCACTGTACCTTACCTGTGTGGACTCCTACTCCGGATCCCCTCCAAAGCAACCTGGGAGCTGTCTCTCCCTCTCTGCCTGTGCGGATTTCCCTCTCTGGGATCCCCTCCCACAACAGTTGGAAGCTCTCTCTACTTCTCCCTCTTTCTCTCTCTGCCTAATAAATCGCTTTCTGCAAAACCCTTTGGGTCCCATATTTACTTGACTAGTAAGCTTACTATGCCGCCAGGGCATCTTTCTCATTCCTAGGGCAGGGGAGCCCAAGAACCTCAGGGCACATCCCATCCGGGAGAGAGCTGAGTCCCATCCCTCCACTGGGTTACATCTGTGGCAGGCAAGCCAGCCCGGAGAGGGTGGTGAGTGCATCCGACCACTCTCACTTGCTAAAATCTGTCCTCTGGCTTCTCTTAA